GGGGGGGGGTGGGATTGGATAGATAGGAGAAGAGGGAGTTGACGTAGGTGGACTTGTAAACACTAACCGAGTAATAGGAACAGTAGCAACGGGGAATGTGTGCTTTCAAGATGAGAATATCGCGACAAAACAACGATAAGTACAGAATCAAAGGAAAGATTGAGAAAGGTCAAGTAAAACGATGAAGCCTAAAGGTGGAGAGAGAGAGAGAGAAGAGAGGTTAGGGGAAAGGTGTTGTAATACGATACCTCGTATAGGCAATACATACATATACTAGTTAGGGAGAGTATCTTCACCCTAAGTTAATATAGGTTATAGTTATAAAATAATCTAAATATAGTTAACAAATGATTTAGATTCAAGTAGTCAAGTATTATAGAATAAGTATCATAAAAATTCATAAAAATTCATAAAATATAAAGACCAATGCCATATATAGTCCAGAACTCTTATGTTGTATAACTAGTTGGAGATGTATACTACACATGTATTTATGTATGTATTTTACACCTCCGAGTCTCGACTTGTTATCTCTTCTTCACACCCCCCAATTCTCACCGACAGATGTGGGGAGCTTCAACCTAAAGGCTTTTTTTTTTTTTTTTTTCTTCTTCTTCTTCTTTTTTCTTTCTTTTCTTATTCCTTTTCTTTTGATTTGAATATCTATTTTCTAATTCATCTAATTCAATCTTATATTTTCTTTTCAAAATCACATTGACATTGATTTGGGTGTGTGAAACCCAAATTATGCAATAATCTGCGTCACAACTTTTCTCTGTTATACATTCCCCCCCATTCTGTACCTTAGGTACACACAAGATATAGCAAGGGGGCGCAGTCATGGGACCTCCTCAACCCGATCTCAGTTCCAGTTGGAATGCCAACACGTCCGCTGATTCCTCTAACAATGAATCAGCCATTTCATCCCCGGGTCTCGAGGGTCCCGTGGACTCTCCTCTCCATGAAAACCCCAATGCACTAGATCAGCCCGCGGAGGATATTTTGCCCAGAGATCAACAGCAGAAAACGGCCACCTACGATTATGCCTATGAGAAGTCCATGAGTCACGCCGAGGCAAGACTCTTCTATCAACATCATCAGCTAGCCGCGCGGAACGACACCAGCCTGCCTTTGAGCCCAGTGGCCCCAGCCCGCTCAGCAGTCGAACCACACCCCGAAGAGTCATCGGATAACCTCCCGGCCCCGATGAATACTCAAGGCCGGCTTTCTCGGGAGGGATCTATGGTCTTAGAAGAATCCGAACCCTCGACACTACGCCTGCAATCCACCGGTGACCCCGATTCCTCTGCGTCTCATTACCTTGAAGACGATCAAGATGAAGCGAACGATTCTGCCCGAAACCAGGCGGCGCTTCTAAGTGCTATCCATGGACAGGCACCATACTCAGCGGCGGAGGGTCTACAAAGCGCCAGTGTAGGAATTGGAGGCCCTCAGGTTGTTAGTGGATTTGCGTCTAGCAATGATGCTGTGACATCGGAGCTGAATGCTATCTACGGCAAAATCAAGAAACTACTTGATCGGAGATCCCAATACATGGAACTTTCTTTGCAGGGACCCGGCCATGATCCCAAGGACCAACCGGACTGGGAGATATATCCTTCGCCTCCAGAACCAGCCTGGGATGATGGCAAAGAATATCAACCCGGCAACATCCGTGACCCATCTGACCTTGGAGGAAAGAAGAGGAAAATGGGTCAGGACATTGGGGAGGATTTTGACATGGAGGAATTGATGCCTCTACCCAAAGAATCACCCTGGACGTATAGGCTGGATGGCAACAGCGTATATCAGGTCTTTGATTCCGAGGCCGCCGCCGACCAGCAAACACCTATTGTCCAGATCCCCTCGTTGCGCGATTTCTATATGGATCTAGACGCCGTTGTGGACGTGTCGACCGATGGACCTGCTAAGAGCTTTGCGTTCAAACGGCTGTCGTACTTGGAGGGCAAATTCCAATTGTACACGCTGCTCAATGAATACCAAGAGATGGCCGACAGCAAGAAGGTTCCTCACAGAGACTTCTACAACGTGCGCAAAGTGGATACCCACGTTCATCATTCGGCTTGCATGAACCAGAAACATCTTCTTCGCTTCATCAAGAGCAAGATGAGAAAATCCCCGGACGAAGTTGTCCTTTTCCGAGATGGAAAGCATCTGACCTTGCGAGAGGTCTTTGAGAGTATCAATTTGACTGCTTATGACCTAAGCATTGATACTTTGGATATGCACGTAAGTCTCTCATCACGTCCCTTGTCTTTTGATCCTTCAAAATCCATAGATGATGAAGGAAGATGCAATGTTAATGCATCAGTATTTGCTCGTCCTTCCCCCTTACGCTCACTCTCAATCTACACGTATTACTAGTACTGACTCTGACTTCATAGGCACACACCGACTCTTTCCACCGATTTGACAAATTCAATTTGAAGTATAATCCGGTTGGGGAATCCCGACTGCGTGAAATTTTCCTCAAAACAGACAATTACATCAAAGGTCGCTACCTCGCAGAGATTACCAAGGAAGTAATCTCAGACTTGGAATCTAGCAAATACCAAATGGTAGAATGGCGAATCTCGATCTACGGTCGTTCACTTCAGGAATGGGACAAGCTTGCGGCCTGGGTGGTAGACAACAAGTTGTTCTCGCCTAACGTTCGCTGGCTCATTCAAGTGCCTCGTCTCTATGATGTCTACAAAGCAAGCGGCATGATGGAGAACTATGAACAAGTCATCACCAATGTCTTCCAGCCGTTGTTTGAAGTGACCAAAGATCCTTCTAGCCATCCCAAACTCCACATCTTCCTCCAGCGAGTTGTTGGATTCGACAGTGTGGATGACGAAAGTAAGCCCGAGCGCCGGCTGTACAGAAAGTATCCCATCCCACGAGAGTGGAGTACCAAACAAAATCCGCCTTACACTTACTGGTTATACTTCATGTTCGCCAACATGGCTTCCCTCAACAACTGGCGGAAACGTCGCGGATTCAACACGTTTGTTCTACGCCCTCATTGCGGAGAGGCAGGCGACCCGGATCATCTGGCCGTCGGCTTCCTCTGCTGCCACAGCATCAGTCATGGTATTTTGCTGCGCAAGGTACCTCTCCTGCAATACCTTTACTATCTAGATCAGATCGGCATTGCCATGTCACCACTCAGTAACAACGCTTTGTTCCTCACATACGATAAGAACCCCTGCGCTACCTTCTTCAAACGAGGACTCAATGTGTCTTTGTCCACCGACGATCCATTGCAGTTTGCGTTCACAAAGGAGCCTCTCATTGAGGAATACTCAGTCGCAGCGCAGATCTACAAATTCAGCGCAGTCGACATGTGTGAACTGGCCAAACATTCAGTCGACCAAAGTGGATTTGAGCTCTCCCTCAAAGAAAGATGGCTTGGCTCGAATTGTTCCATACCTGGAACCGCTGGCAATAATGTTGCAAAGAGCAATGTACCAGATATTCGTGAGGCATTCCGACATGAAACTTTGCTCGGAGAATTGTCCTTGTAAGTTTTCCCATGATGTCTTTGGCGTTAATGGAAATTGGGCTAACCGTAATCGTCTCATCAGGATCGAGCGATATTCCGAGGGCAATGGGACCGAAGAGCAGAAGAGCTTTGCTCCAGGTCCACCGGGGGAAGCGGTCCCCTCGAATCAGGGTAAATCCACCCTGAGGGAATGATTAGGAATTATGCAGCAGACTAACTTCTAAATCATCCATTCTCAGATCAGCATACACGTAACCTCGAGCCGCAATCCGAGCTGGGTTCAAATGTAGCCGCCACTACGGATGTCTCCCCTAGTGAGGCCCATAGTGCAAGCCAGATGGCTACCTCCCCATCGACTCCGTCGAAATACCTAGCTCGGTCACCTCGCCTTGGGACGGGTGAGTTCTCGTCTCCTGGTGGTAACCCTGCCCTCGGAGCAGACGGTCTGCCAGAGCAAAAGATTTTCCCGGGTATCGTTCATGAGAGGGCTCGAAAGGGAAACATGCAATAGAATCACAAGTGAGCGGGTTCGAGTGACACATAACACAAACTAGTGGGAGAAAGCGAAACATTGGAGTAATTATAACAATCTTCAAATGGAATTGACTCAGTCTCTCAAGTTAGAAATTAAAGTGATCATCTCCCGACACAATAGTGTCCTCGTAGTAGAGTACCATGGGGCAATGCTGCACATGTACAATCCCGAGCTCTATGAAAAACTCAACGCCCGACGAAATAGCCACAGTTGCGTGGGTTTAATATGCACCCGTTTATGTCAAAAACGCCTCTCAATCATAACATACAAATTATATCTCCCAAGTAATTCAAATGGCCCAGCTACCTTTTCGTTCTGGTAGTCCCCAGCTTTCAAGATTGGTATCCTCTTCCGCCATGCCAGGCTCTTGCCTCGCCCACTCCTGGATATACAGACGGAGAGCTTTCCATCGCGCACAGGCACCCGCGAGGTTGTCCGTCTCTGGGGCTACAACATAGCCTCTAGCATCAGTATGCAAGTCGTCCCGGCGAAGATCTTCGATGGAGATGCCCGAAATTCGGCTGAGTTCGTAGTCATAACAACGGGCAAGGCACGGGTAACCCAGAGACAAGTAATTATAAATTTGAGTCACAAATCCGTTATGGAATTCGGCCTCGATGACTTTCTGGAGGTTAGGGCTCGCCGGCTTCTGGGAATTGTGGTTCCCGGGCGAGGCTGTGAGGCGATCCAGATGTGTATGGGAAGGAGATGGGCTGAGTCCCATGCTAATGCCAGCCTCATCGACACGAGGCATGGGGGTCACAATGCCAGGCATTAGGCCGTGCACTTCCCGCTCTTGGCCCTCGTTCTTGCAACAAGTGCCCATCCAAAGACCAGAACCCTTTCCGCTACCCTGGGACGGCGCTGCGCACCATAAGTCACCACAGCCAGTACAAAGATCCTGTACGCCACGAGAGCCTGCATCAGTGCTAGGGTGTTCACACATTGTTCCCTCAGGTGAGGCGCTTCGAGGAAGGACGATGTCACTGCCAAGCATGGGTGGGCTCTTGCCATTCTTATTGTGCTTTATTAAAGACTTTGGTCGTGCAGATGCACCCATAGCCCGTATCCTCATTTCAGCCTCCTCCTTGTGGTGGCGCATGTACTCAAGTTCCCAGGACAAATCTGCCGAAGATTGTCGTCGAGACTTGACATGATGATACTTCATAGACACATGATCATCGTCTGAATCTCCCCCATCTTCGTCGATGGCGAAATGATCCACAGGCTCGTACACTTGCTCGTTGGGAAAGGCAGCCAACGCTTGCTCCTTCAACTGGATCTGTGCGGATCGAGCGGCAAGAGAGAGCAAGAATTCCGAGAGCTGCTCATCACGCACTTCATGGGGTGCATCGCTCATGTCTAAATCTTGTGTCACTTTATTGGAAGGCCTAGGCGGCGAAGTGCACGCTGAATGCGATCTGGAGTTATCCGAGTCTTCGCTGCTATCAGAGGCGATCGATGGTAAATCCGGTACTCGAAACGAATGTCGTCGGTCTTGTTGTCGACGCAGAAGATTGGAATACGAAAAATGAGACTCGGATGATAGATAAGTGTGGACGTCGGGATTTGGATCTAGCCATGATGTCGTGTCTGGACCAATGATTGTATGGGGTGCGGAAGATTCTACGGCATTGTGCCGTTGGGAAACCCGAATGGGTTTCCCTTTTCGAACCGAGCGAGTGTCGGTTTCTATCAGGTCGGGTTTGAATCTTCTCGGAGCCGCTGATGTATTGCTCTGTGATGGAGAATTCCTCTCCTGTACCTCAGAAGTCGAATGAGACCGTCTAATACTAGCTTTGCTTGTTTCAATTGGTTCCGGTAAAAATCGTTTGACTGGTCGATGTTCACTGGGCTCTTTTGAATGTGGTTCGGGCTTTGATAGATCGGGTTGGTTTGCTTCGCTCGAAGCTAGCTGTTGGACGTTTGAGCTTCGCGAGACGGTTTCGATTGGCTGGACCAGGAATCTCCGAGGGACTGTAGGTGATGCTTGACTTTGTGAAAGTGCCGACCCGAGTGGCTGATGTCGATTATCCGAAAAATTTGGCTGACACTCGTGAAGAGTGGTCAGATCGTGAAGGCTGTCTGTAGGTTGGCACACCTCTCTTCCATCCGTGGGCATGTTAGTTTTCCCGTGTGCTTCTGGATGGCCCATTGTCTAATTGTTGCAATCTATGACAGCTCTGAACCATGCTATTGAATATCAAGAAGATTGAGAATCAGCATAGGGAGGGAGGGGGGCTCAGTTGATTTATGGCATGTTGGGTCTTATCGGGTGTGTTTGTTTATGGGAGAGCATGCGGGGTCGAAAAAGCGGTCTCGATGTGACTAGTACTAGAGAAACAACCTTGGAAAAGGGGGTGTGCCATGATGTAATACATCAGTTATCATAGATTAAAAAGAAAAGTACATCGAAATCATGTCACAAGGTACAAGGTATATAGGGAATTTAAAAAAATGTTGGATTTTGCGTCAGACAATTGCATGTGCAAGTTGTCCGAGTGAAACCCGCGGACTATTGTACTTAGTTATGTAGGTATGTACCTAGGTAAGAGTACATGGTTACGTAAGATACATAAGTTATGCAGTAACCTTGGAAGGTCCACGGTACCTTTCTGATGACATCAGCTCTGTTCCAATACCATACGATACCAAACGCGATAAGGAGTTATCATGATACGATAACCTCATTTCTTCCGGTTCTCTTCGACTCTTCTTTCCTACACTTCTACACTTCTACACGTGTCCAAGTTCAGCAATGGATTCTAAAGACAAGCGGAAATTTGACGAGACTGATGATCCTCTACCCGGATCGATCTTGAAGCAGCGTAAGGTAATCGGACCTTCTCTCCCTCCGCCTCAGGAGGCCGAGGCGGCGAACAGTGAAATCAGCAAAGAAGATGAAGATGAAGATGACGACGATGACGATGACGATGATGATTTCGGTCCAAGCCTTCCTCCGACCGGTCCACTGAAAACCCATGCGCGGCAAGAGCCTACAGCACCTGATACATCTAAACCAGTTGAAAAGGAAAGTCAGCGAGATCAATGGATGCTTCAACCTCCTTCCCATTCCGACTGGTCTTCCAAGGTCGACCCCACACAACTACGAAATCGCAAGTTCAATACAGGAAAATCAGCCACGGCACCTAAGAACATGGATTCCTCGTGGGTTGAGACCCCAGAGGAGCGAATGAGGCGACTACAGGACGCAGTTATGGGCGTGGCTGCCTCAACAAATCAGCCCAAGGACCATAAAGACGCCTCAAACGCAAAGCTGATGGAGGATCAAATCAAGAAATACAAGGTAAATTTTTTTTTGGCATATCCTTTCCTCGGAAAGGCGCTTCATACTTTATTTCTGTCTTCTTTGTTTTTGTTCTAACATAAACATTCTTGTTGTAGGAAATGACTGGGAAAAGCACTCGCCTAGAAAACCCAAATCAGGCCGAGAAAGAAGATGATGATCCAAGTGCGCGCGCGTTTGATCGAGAGAAGGATATGGCAGTTGCTTCGAAGATATCCAGCGCGCAGCGCCGGGAGATGGTAAAGAAGGCTGCGGATTACAACACACGTTTTACCAAGGGCAACTTCTTATAGCTATTCCTAACTACAAACCTTTGAATGAGAACGGAGAGGCCTGCGCCCAATGTTTCATTCACGACTCCACCCAAGAGCGAACGATATAGATGCTCTACACCTTGATTCGGCCTTCTTTCGCTCTTCGGACATAGGGCTGCGGAAGTCGCACCGAACCCTTGTCGCGCGTTACTCGTGCCACAGCTATGTTAAACAACCAATGGCAATGGGCAGGCATCAATGGCCTGCTCAACTGGATGGAATTCAAGCTTACACGGCGACAGTTGTCATCAGGACCAATAACCACATTACTTCGCAGTAGTTACTTGTTTCTCTTCACTCGTGTCTTATTTCCCTTCATATTTAACTCACCGCGAGTGCCATGACGGCCACAGTGATATATTAGATGATTTTTGTCAGCTTATCCTGTAATCAATAATGTCTTTAGATTTGCTTTTATGTACATACCTGAGCAATCTTCCCCATTAAGCTTTGCAAATGATGCAGAGTAACCGGTGCAACCATGAACGTCGCTGTATATGTGTATATTACACCTTTTATACATTTTCCACTACCTATGCTCTATGTTTTGAGGCTAATTCTCTTCAACATACCCTTCATACCCTTCACATAAGTTATGCCTCGCGATCTAATCTTCTCCCTCGGAACGGATATCCCGGCAGACTCAGAGTGGCAAAGTGCGGGATGTGAAGGGCTTAGTCAACCAATCAGAGTGGCTGATATTCACCTTATTCACCTCCAGGGCTTATCCTCGGCCTCCTAATTCCCTTAAATTCCAACCTTTGCAACCTTCCATTATTCCTTGTCCTTATCTCTCTCCCTCAAACATGTCTTTCTCAAATTTAGTATCTGACATTGCCTTTCGTGATGCTCGTGTGGATGATGGCAGCTCGCAAATCTCTCACGCCCGATCCCACCGGTCTCACGCGACCGCTCGGTCGTATGCCAGCACCACAGCCACAAGCGTCAGCATCTCTGGCGAAGTTTCTAGCCAGTTACATTCTGGATACAGCCATCCTCTAACTAGGGCATGGCAGGCCGACAGGCAATTAACAAAGGTCCGCCCTCAATGGTGTTAGAAGACACGTAATCGTACTGGTAACTCATCGCTAATACATCGTCTCTCTAGGATATGCTCATCTATCCGTTGTTCATCACAGACAATCCTGACGAGGAGACCGCAATTCCTTCATTGCCTAATCAACACCGCCGTGGAATCAATCGCCTGGTTCCGTTTCTTGCCCCCCTTGTTCGGAAGGGGCTGCGCTCGGTCATGCTGTTTGGTGTTCCACTCCACCCATCCGCCAAAGATGCATTGGGAACCGCTGCAGACGATCCCGATGGTCCTGTAATTCAAGCCATTCGTCTTCTCCGATCTCGTTTCCCTCAGCTTTATATCACAACCGATGTATGCCTCTGCGAGTATACGTCGCACGGTCACTGTGGTATCTTACGAGAAGATGGAACCCTTGACAATGCGCAATCCGTGGATCGGATCTCCGATGTAGCTATTGCCTACGCGGCGGCTGGAGCTCACTGCGTGGCCCCATCAGACATGAATGACGGAAGAATCCGGGCTATCAAGCTCAAGTTGATTGAAGCTGGTGTGGCACACCGTGTACTTTTGATGTCTTACAGCGCCAAATTCAGTGGCTGCTTATATGGGCCATTCCGTGATGCGGCTGGCTCCTGTCCCTCATTCGGGGATCGTCGGTGCTACCAGCTTCCCCCAGGCGGCCGCGGTCTTGCCCGACGTGCGATACAGAGAGATATGGCTGAAGGTGCAGATATTATCATGGTGAAGCCAGCCAGCAGCTACCTTGATATCATCCGGGATGCCAAGGATTTGGCGCCAGATCTTCCAGTAGCCGCCTACCAGGTCAGTGGTGAATTTGCAATGATTCATGCCGCTGCCAAGGCCGGTGTCTTCAATCTCAAGGATATGGCCTTTGAAAGCACCGAAGGCATCTTGAGAGCCGGCGCTGGGATTGTGATCAGTTACTTTGTTCCAGAATTCCTCGACTGGCTTTAGTTGTGTACTCAACTTGCCATTTTCTCCTTTCCAACACTCTCTCCACTCTAAAAGTGCGATTTTCGGGCTTTTCATTTTCCATGTGATTACAATGGCTGCATTTCTACATCTGACTTCTAATGGGTCGGATGTATTGAATATAAAATGCTACTTGGGACTGGATAGATTCCCTTTTATGTGATACGATGTCTTTCCATTTGGTTGTTAACGATTACCCCTTATTACAATGTTATTAATTATTTTCTTTTTCTTCCCTTTCTGTCCAACCGATAGTGTATCAGATATTTGACTTCTAATTCAGATGTATAAAGGTTTGTAGCAGAATCGAGATTGAGTCGAGGTAAAGAATGCAGAGGCATTGTGTATAGACTGCAAGATGACACCCAGTTCGCCGCATAGAACGCTAATAACATACAAAGGTAAAGAGAAACCATTCGTCAGCGACAGTGGATATCAAAATCAAGATCAGTAAAAAAAAGAAAGAAAAAGAAAAAGAAATCAGATGAAGCTGAAACCGGAGGAAGAAATCCAAGAGCCATAGTTTTGCACTCCCATCTATAGGCGTTGATAGACCTGCGCCGTAGCGGATGATCATTCGACTTTTCCACATGCGAAATCAATACACGTCACTTCGTTCACATAGCAAAGCTGGGTTTTGACCCCTGAAACATGTAACCTGCAATGTTCGTGTTGACAATCTCTCCTGGGGCCACATAAACGCCACGAGCAAGACGAACCCCTGGGTAGATGATGCAACCCGCGCCGACATAACAATCTTCTTCGATAATGACTTGCCGACCTTGATATCGACTTTGCGAGCCTTTGCGCTCCTGCATATTGGGATGAGCAGTTGAACTAATTATTTTGACGTTGGGGCCTATCCATGTATGAGCACCGATGCGGATAACACAGTCATCCACAAACAGGCAATTCTCCGAGATCATGACATCTTCCCCGATGTGGAGGTTATAGCCATAATGACAACTAAAAGGAGCCTCGACAACCGCCCCTTGGCCGATGGATCCGGCAGAGCGAGGCACGCCGGTTCCAGCTGGTGAGTTGATAATGGAAGATGCCGGGGGTACGATGATCTCCTTCAGGAGGCGGTTTTGCTCTTTCGAACTGATGCCGTTGAGCGGATTGCAGGCGTTGTTAAATTTCCATAGTGCGCCTCGGCAACGATCCCTTTCCTCCACAAGGTGGACGTCAAATGGTCGGTAGAGTTTGCCTCTAATCATCTTTTCCTTCTCAGTCTCGTCACTCGATAAAGTACGGCCAGAGAGCTGATGCTCGATACTAAGTGCCATCCGAGCCTGCGCCTGGGGACTATGGGTGTCCACAGTCGCTGCGGGCAATGTTCGTTGCTCGGGCCCATTTTGGAATAACGGCATATTGGATTTAGGATGAGATGGATGACTGAGGTCCCGAAGTGAAGAGATGACCGGATAGTCAGGTTTGGGGCGTCCTTCCCGCGATAGCTCATGGATGGGTGGAACCTCCCGATAATCGACCACTTTCGCCATGGGTTCGGGCGGATAAGGTGGATGACTGGTATTGGACCCAGTCCCTGGGCCAGCACTTGGCCAAGCTTGTTTTGACCACGCATGATTGGATGGTGTAACTGTTGGGCTGGTGTTGTATTGTTGAACGGGGCGCTCATTTTCCTCCACCACCAGGGGCCTGATTTTTGTCGTGTCGACATGCTCCACTAGGTTAGGTTGTCGATCTTGGTGTCGAGGGGTTTCTTGCATATACGGGCCATTGATGTCTGAATAGCCTTCTTTGGATTGCAAAGGGATCGGGGTTTTTGAACTAGATGGCTTTTGCCAGGTGCTTCGGGATGAATATCCTTCACACAGGAAGCCCCCACGAAGACAGTTGTTGCCTACAATTCATCATTAATGTCGCTCCTTCGGACAGGGAATAATTTATAAAGACAAGAAAAAGAACGGGGAAGCTAGAGCCATTAGGAGTGGACTTACACGCCGGATGTTGCTCGTCGCATTTCTTTTTTCTGCGGCGGCAGGTCATACAGCCTGTCTTCGTTCGGTTACTAAATACCCGCTTCCTCTTTGGAGCCACCTGCATTGCCCCATGTCGATCTGGCGCATAACTAGGAGAGGACGGCTGTTGCACGCCGGGGGTCGACCGATTTGTCATGGACCTTTCTTGCCCTGCCTCGCGTTGAAGAGCGTCTGCCAGGTGGGCATCTGATGGATCAATTTGCTGGGCCCGTTGTGCCTGGGTGATCAACTGAGAATCATATTCTGACCAAGGACTATTGGCGGAGGTCTGGCCCGCATCATTGCCCTCGGACCGGTGAGATGGTGTTGCAGAATGATTGCCCCGCTCCACCTCCGAGACCGATCCTGGCAGGCCATTCGGATTGGGTTGATTGATCTCAGTAGGACGGTTTACCGGACTCCTGGAGGCGTTCGCGGAATCTCGTTCTCGGGACTCTGATCTCTTTCTCTTATTCTTGTTGTGAGAGCCGCTGGGCGAGGATATTTGTGACCTTTCTTGATCATTGGCAGGATCATCCCGATCATCTCGGCTGGGATCTAAGTTGGTCTTTTCCTGGGTGGATACACGTTCTCCATTGGGGATGGAGCTAGGTGTTGGCCCATGCCCATTCCCATTGCCATTTCCAGAGATCACGGGTTCTCTGCCATTAACTGCGGTAAATCGGGATGGACTGTGCTCCGTCCCCGTTTCGGCCCCAGAGTCGTGACTACCATTCATGACGGGTGCAGTAGCAAGAGCCGTCATCATAGAAGCCAAAAAGCAAAAGATAGTAGGAAAAGGAGAAACCAGAGACCACAAAGAATAGGGCTGAGGTTACACCGAGAGGTGTAAGAGACTATTCAAGTAGATGGGAGATGGGTATAGGGAAGGTTTCCACTCAATTGCCAAGAAATAGCCCCCAAATATGAGAGATAGTCTCCAAAAGAAGAGAAGAGAAGCCTTGAAAGGTTCGGAAATACTTCCAATATCTTAGTACAGCTCTTTGTTGACGTGGAATTGCAAGTTAAGTCACCTGGGTGGGGCGAGGAGATCGGGAGATTATCAGAGATAGTATACAAGATGTGTCGAAGGAGCATTCAACAAAGTGGTGTTCTTTTTTTAAATAGAAAAAGAAAAAAAAAAAAACGTCAGAAAAGAGATATAAATGCGAAAGAAGTAGCAAAATGCTCAAATATAAAGAAGATAGAAAGAGAGAGAAAGCCAAAGGAGAATGGAAGAGACGGAAAATGGGGGAGAAGAGGGAGGGGGGAAAGCGACTAATAAAAGAGAAGGGGGAAAACACCGAGCTAGGACCCTCTCTCTCCCTCTCTCTCTCTCTTTTTTTCAAGGAAAAGTACAAAATAAAATAATAAAAAATAATAAAAAAAGGCAGTAATCTCCAAATGACTAGAAGGAAAAAGAGGAAAAAAAAGGGAAAGGGGAAGTTGGCGCGCGATCGGCAATGACGGCGTCACAGGCAGCACCAATCGGAGAAGCGACCAGCCGTGTCCTAGTGAGGCGCGGGTCTGAGACATGGCCCATCCGCTTTGGACTTGTTTTCTGCGCGCGTTCCCAGTTCTTTTCCCCCTCCCTCAATTTTCTTTTTGCCTACATTCGCCATTGGCGCCCGTGTACGCGGTGTCCCGCGCATAAGGGCGGTTATGCGCTTAAAGAGTATTCAACTTTTGTTATTATTTTTAAAGGGTATGTTTTATAGTAATGCTTCTATTTAATTCTCCTTGTTAATATTATTTCATCTTCCTCCTTCTAATTCTTCTCAAAGCCTGAAGTTTTCATGGATCTGGCGCCCATCTCGGGAATTATTGATGACTGCAGCGTGCCGCGGCGCTAGGACCAAGGAACTAAAATCACTAGAGGAGTCGGCTGAGCACGGATGCCTCTTGGGCGCTTTCAGTGAGTTTAGACGACTTTTCTTTGTTTTAATCAGATGCAGAGTATTTCTTTCTATCATATGTATTCTTATGGAAGAATCTACATATATTCATATATAATGTATGATATACAATATGTAATATATAGACTGTTGGCACCTGATTCAGCCAACTTTCAGAATTCTATCACTATCACTATCACTTTTTTTTTCTCATAATAGCACCTATCATAAATAATACAAATGTCAATGTCAATGTAAAAAAAAAATAGAAATAATATCCGATGGGAGAGAAATGTAGTGGATAATATCTATAGGTACATAGGTACGGAGGAACTAACTATACACATACATAGTACTCCGTACGGAGTAATGTATGTTGTACGTTGGATGTATCCTCTGGGTAAAAAAAGGGATTTGGAGAGAGCTTGTGCTGACTAAGACCTCAACGAGACTCCCGGGAGAGGATCAACTTCAAACATCCAACGCGCTCTCACCGCCAGAGTCTGCGATAGCTTCCTTTTTTTGACCCCCAATCTCGTGTTTTTTTTTTTGCCTTCAGAGTCTGGTAAGCCTTGACCTGGACTCACCTCCCCTGATTACCCCATCCAATCATTTCTCATCCTGACATCGTGCTGACCCCAACCCCTCTAAAGGATCTCTCTACCCCACCGATCACACTTGCTTCTTGTTCCCCTCCATTATTTGATACTGCCCTGCAGCCGCCCTGGCACCCCCCATATCCTATTAAGGCGGTTCCCATCAACCTCCACTCTTGACTCTCGTGTCTCAAACCCCATTTCGTCATCAGAGGCGACATCGCCAGCCTGCGCCAGGATGTCGATTTCGGTACAAGAGCTGGACAACACGGTCCGAGCTTTGTTTGAAGGCAAAGGTGCCGTGGTAAGTTGAAACCGTCTGCTCTACACTGCTTGAATTGTAAAATTCATGGCTTCTTTCTACCCCTCACAGAAGCTCTGGAGACAATAACACTGACACTTATTACCGCGCCTAGCAAAACCAAGCACAGCAGACTTTGACAGAAGTAAGCGCGCAGCCCCTCCACAACCTTATATGAATTGAAAGCTAATTATCCATGTGCTCTTTAGTTCAAGCAAAATCCCGATGCCTGGGTTACCGTGGGCAATATCCTCCAAGAGGCCTCATACCTTCAAACCAAATGTGTGTTTCGAGTCTTTGGCAATCTCCCCATGCCTTCAAATGCCTGGAAAAGACTTGCTGACCCTAAGTAGACATTGCTCTCCAAGTCTTGGACAATGTGATTATGACACGATGGAAGGTCCTGCCAAGAGACCAATGCCAGGGTAAGGACTGCCATGGCCTAGTTTTGTCTCCCGCCCTATACTAAGATTGTTCTCCATAGGTATCCGCAATTTCATTGTGAGATTTATTCTCGAGAACTCCGAATCCGAAGAGAAGATCCAATCGGAGCGCCCTCTATTGAACAAGCTCAATCTCGTTCTCGTCTCCATTCTAAAGCAAGAATGGCCACACAACTGGCCCACTTTCATCAACGAGATCATTTCTTCCTGCCATGCCAGCCTTTCGATCTGTGAAAATAACATGACAATTCTCCGTCTATTGTCGGAGGAAGTCTTTGACTTTTCGCAAGATCAAATGACCTCAGCCAAGGCACGGAACTTAAAGACCTCCATGACCTCGGAATTTGCGTCAATCTTCCAACTGTGCTCCGAGGTTCTTAACACTGCCAACCAGCCCAGTTTGGTGAAAGCGACCCTTGAAACTCTCCTTCGATTTTTGAACTGGATCCCATTGGGCTACATTTTCGAAACGCCCATCATCAACACTCTTCTCACCCGATTCCTCGGAGAGCCCGAGTTCCGAAATGTGACTTTGAAGTGTCTGACTGAGATTGGTGGCTTGCAAATTGGCACTCCTTACAACTATGACGAACGATTGGTGCACATGTTCACCGAAACCCTCACCACCGTTTCCAATGTCATTCCTCTGTCCCTGGACCTGAAGCAAACATATGCCATGAGCAATGGAAGAGACCAAGAGTTTGTATCAAACTTGGCCTTGTTCCTCTCAAGCTTTTTCAGTGCTCACCTGGATGTATGCTCCTCCTCTTCTCCAACGTCTTGTTTTTGTTCTTACTTTTACTAATTCCCTACTGTCTTTTCTAGCTCATCGAAAAGTTGCCTAACCAAGATTACCTTACGCACGCACACTTCTATCTGATTCGGGTCAGCCAGATCGATGATCGGGAGGTGTTCAAGATTTGCTTGGACTACTGGACAAGGCTTGTGCAAGAACTTTACGAAGAGATGCAGCAGCTCCCAATTACCGACATCAATCCGCTAGTATCCATGAGCGTTAGTGGGTTGGCGAACGGTGGTGCCCCCAACCCCACTACCCTCGCAAACTACCCCTTGCGCAAGCACAAGTACGAGACTGTGTTAACAAACCTTCGCACCGTGATGATCGAGAAGATGGTCCGCCCAGAAGAGGTCTTGGTTGTTGAAAACGACGAGGGTGAAATTGTGCGCGAGTTCGTCAAGGAAAGCGATACGATCCAACTTTACAAGACGATACGCGAGTGCTTGGTCTACCTGACCCATCTTGATGTGGTCGACACGGAAACCATCATGATTGATAAACTGGCCAAGCAAGTTGATGGAACCGAATGGTCGTGGGTGAACTGCAACACGCTGTGCTGGGCTATCGGTTCTATCTCTGGGGCCATGAATGAAGAAACTGAGAAACGCTTCCTGGTAACTGTAATCAAGGATCTGCTTGGTCTCACAGAGCAGAAACGTGGAAAGGACAACAAAGCCGTGGTGGCAAGTAACATCATGTACATCGTGGGACAATATCCCCGGTTCTTGAAGGCTCACTGGAAGTTCCTGAAGACTGTCGTCAACAAGCTTTTCGAGTTCATGCATGAGACACACGAAGGTGTCCAAGACATGGCTTGCGATACGTTCATCAAGATCGCCAACAAGTGCAGACGGCATTTCGTGGCACTCCAGCCTGGTGAAAGCGAACCTTTCATCGAAGAAATTGTCCGAAACATGCGCAAGATCACCATGGACCTTTCCCCGCAACAGATTCATACTTTCTACGAAGCCTGTGGCTACATGATCTCGGCTCAAGGTCAAAAGGGTCTGCAAGACCGCTTGACCGAGAACCTGATGGCGCTCCCCAACACTGCCTGGGATCAGATTATCGCAGAGGCAAATCAAAACCCGGCAATTCTCCAAGATGCTAACACCATCAAAATTGTCGGAAACATCATGAAGACTAACGTTGCAGCTTGCTCCTCGATTGGTACCTACTTTTATTCTCAGATTGGCCGGATCTATCACGACATGTTGAATATGTACCGTGCTGCCAGTCAGCTAATTAATGATGCTGTTGCAAGTGATGGTATTTAATCCCACTCACCGTTGACGAACACCCGAACTTTTTGGCTAACCCACAAACAGGAGCCATCGCCCCGAAAACCCCCAAGGTCCGAGGACTTCGGACAATCAAGAAAGAAATCTTGAAGCTCATCGACACCTACGTGGACAAGTCAGATGACCTTGAGATGGTCAATGCCAGCATGGTACCGCCGCTCATGGAGGCTGTCCTGATTGATTATGCCCGGAACGTTCCCGATGCACGCGAGGCCGAGGTTTTGAATGCCATGACTACGATCATCCACAAGCTTCACGTATGTTCCTTTTCCCTGTTTGTTTGGCCTGATGGCTGGCAATTCCTTTCATTTGATGGCCTGTCGCATCGCATACTTGCACCTTGCTAACGAGTTAATCAGAATCTGATGGAGGATAAGATCCCCGCCATCATGGACAGTGTTTTCAACTGCACTCTTGAGATGATTAACAAGGACTTCCACGAATACCCTGAGCACCGGGTCGAGTTCTTTAAACTGCTTCAAGCCGTCAATCTGTACTGCTTCCAAGCGCTTTTGAAGCTCGATGCTGCGCAGTTCAAGTTTGTTATTGATTCGTGCATGTGGGCATCGAAGCATGACAACCGCGAGGTGGAGAACACTGGTCTTACAATGTGCCTGGAGCTGATGAACAACATGGCCGAAACTGACCAGCAAACCTCGAGCATTTTCTTCCGCGAGTTCTACATCGCAATTCTTCAGGACGTCTTCTTTGTCCTCACGGATAGTGACCATAAGGCTGGTAAGTAATGTCCTTTGTCCTTGATATGAAACAAGAAGCTTACACCATGATCTTTTAGGATTCAAATCCCAGGCCATGCTTTTGTCGCGCATGTTTTACTTTGTGGAATCAGGCAAAATCCAGGAGCCCATTTATTCCCCCGATCAAGCCCCGGCCGGAACTTCCAACAAGGAATTTTTGCAGGAGCACATCGCAAATCTGCTCAAGAATGCATTCAGTAATCTTCAAGAGTAAGCCACCACCACCACCCTCGATGTCTATTGAAAGCAAAACAGTACTGACTTTTCCCACCAGAACACAAATCAAGCAGTTTGTTCTTGGACTGTTTGCATACACCGATGATCTAAACAAATTCAAGACTCACCTTCGTGATTTCTTGATCTCCCTGAAAGAGTTCTCCGATGACAACGCGGAGCTGTATGCGGAAGAACGGGAACAGGCGGTGCGTGATGCCCAGGTCGCCGAGCGCGACCGAGCTATGAAGGTCGGGGGCCTGTTGAAGCCCTCGGAGATGGATCAGGAGGATGAGCTATGACTGGACCAAGAACTGCGTACCGAGTTTGTTGCTGCCTCTACTGGTTCCCCTGGACATGAGCAAGAATCAAGGTTGACTTCCCAGAATGACGGCCTTGACGGCTGGTCCTTTTACGAGCTCTAGATCATGGGAAGCCATGTGTTGGTGCAACCTAAGGAGGCTTTACTCTGGAAAGATGTGTGTGAATTTATCCTTTTTATCTTTTCTTTTTTTATCACCCCCTCCGCCATGATTGGCTATCGGGCATGCAAGATAGACCCATTCCCTAGCTGAGCGGGTTCTTTGAGGTTGGTGCATCAAGGCTCCACGGAACGGATTTACCAATTTTATCCAATGTGTACTTTGCCTATCCAAGGCGTGAGCTTGTTTGATAGCTTTTAACGTCAAATGATCAAAAAATATCTCCAATCCTGCAATTCAGAGATACTTGTGAAGTGAACCACGCGTAAATTTATAGACTAGGAGAGAGTTGGTCATTTACTTTGGCATCTCTTCGGCCATTTTCGCCGCCTATATTCTAGCTACAACACCTATAAGGGGAAGAATATCTTAAAAAAGACATCCAAAATATAATATCTTAGAATCCATCAAAAAAGACTTCAAAAAGACGTTTCAAGGCCACTTATGTGATCGACTCTTCTCAGTCCATCATATGTTGTATACATGTGGAGAGATTGGAAGGCGGTGAGTCCTTATCAGTTGCATCATCCAAAAAAAGTACCCTTCAGACGGATTTCATGATTTTATGATTCTTTGGTTCTTTAAATCACCTCAATCTATTCCATCCTAATCACAATGTCTCGAACACGCCATCCAATGGCCCCAAGTTCATTCCAAACCACAGAGTCTTCCCGAGACTCCCCAACAACCCAATTTCCAACCCTCAGATTACGAGCAGAGGAAGCACCAACCGACACCAGTGAAGCATCCTCGTCTTCTCGACGAATCAGATGGAGTGAAGATGTTGTAGACAACGAGGGTATGGGCAAAAAGAGCTCAAAAGGTGTGAAACTAATTTATCCATTCTATTCCATTCCATCACTCCCCGCAACCAGCAACAATCTAACTGCCACCAGTATGCTGCATTTACCACAAAGCCCGGCCAGTGGGAGAAAGTAGCTCAGAAGAATCTTCATCCAGTTCATCCGATAGCGACAGCGAGAGTGAAGATGACCGTCGCACTGCCAGAGTGAACCGCGCTCGCCACACACACTCACACAACGGAGGACGGGAACCCCAGGGCGAGCACGAGCACGCGTCCCACGCTGACGAAGGGTGTTGCCCCGAAGATCACAACCCTAAACCGAAGCGAAATCGCAGGAAGCCGAGTCCGAATGCATATGAGAAGATGCCCAAGTCGTCGAAGAATCAGAATCAGAATCAGAATCAGCGCCAAAGTCATGCGCGGGGTACTTGATCTTGTTTTTTTTTTTAGGGGGGGACAGACACATGATCATCTAGTTGGTGGCATGCAGAACAATGTACAACGGCATGATCAAGGAGTCACGGGAAGGGCACACTAAACCCTGTTACGGTGCGCTGCATGCGATTCAATGGTTGAATGGTTATTGAGCGAGCTACTTGGCCTACTTGAGACATTTAGACACAAGATAATGAAATTTGGATTGAGAAGATCGGCATCGCAGTGAGGGGGTATCTGAAACATAACTGCAGCCCGGTTCGGTCTATAATATGATTGTACATGGGCAAAGGATAGAGAAATCCTGTGTCTGCAAGCGCTAAAGCGGACTTCATACCATCATGCTTTTTCTCCTTGCAACAACGCGCTGACCACGTCTGACGTCACTGGTTGTAGAGCCCGGTCCAAATGAATCCTCTTCTTCTGGAGAGTCGCCGATTGGGGATTGAGGTTCAACCTGGTCAACCTCGTATTGTGCCATGTTTCCTGCTGTACTTGTGGGGTTTGACGAGTGACGCCGAGTCTGACGTGTGGAATTCAATGGTTTTTGGCAAACTTGAGTCGAGATATCTGCGAGACTGTCCTCGATTTCTTTTTTGAGGCCAGAGTTTGGGTTCCCCGCATCACTGGCGTCCTTCGGGGTCGATGAAACCTTGCGTTTCCTCCGGGAGACCATTGCTAGCAGCTGTTCTGAGGATCCATCCATGGATGACAGATCTGAGCTTTGCGCCGCAAGAGTGAAATCAGCAGGGAGGGTGCCCTCTCCTCCACCGTCCAAACTTTCCCGAGCTACCTGGAAACTGGAGGACCTTCGCGATCCAAGTGCAACAGCGTCAACCATTTCCTTGGTAGGGCGGCGCATCTTATCCCGTAGGTTAGGCTCTGCATAGCTAACCACGGCACCACGACGTCGGGATGGCCGAAGAATCGCAGACTCTTCCTCTGTGTTCATTGCATTCGGATGGGGTGACAGTACTGGTTGGGATAGGGCTGGCTCCTCTAGCTGGGGAGGGGTAGGGCGACTGGCGCGCTTTTCTTTTGAAGCGGCGATTCTGGACACTCGCGGCTTTGGATTGGTAGTCTTGCCACTGAGTTTTTCGACATCCTTGGCTTTCTGTGGCGAGTTGTTATTCTCATCACCTTTGGTGGACCTCTGTATAAGCTTAGAGTCCTGGTAGGAAGACATGCGGGCCTTCTTGGGAGAGCCTATGTTGGAATTTGCACTCTCTGTTCCGGTTGTTAGCTACACTCCTTGTAGGAACGGAACTAAAAGAAAGTAGCACATACTTGGTTCGAGGACCTTCCGCATAGATAAGACAGGAGTTTTCGATCCTCTTGTCACTTCAACGTGGCTTTTTATGGGTGACTGGTCTCGCTGTGTATCTTCCACTGGTTTCGTTTGCTTTTTTGGGCTATGGCTGGGTCGGGTGAATTGGAATTCGTCATCATGAACATCAAGGTTGGACGTGAATCTGTCATCGTCTTCGGGTATGTATTTGCGCTTCGTCGAAACCGATGTTGCTTGCTGTGTTGTATCGATAGGTGGACTTGGTTGCCGATATGTTGGCGCGGGGCTAATTTCAGGCGCAATAATCGAGCTCGACTTCTTTTTCTTCTTGCGTGTCTCGAGAGTTGGAGGAAGTAATGGCTCGGGTTCTTCGGGTATGTCATTGTTGATTTCGCTCCTGAATGTTGATTCTGGTGGCGATGGACTTGAATGTTCCATGGGCGCATATCCTTCCTCCGGCATAAAGCTGAACTGTGGCGGAGAATCTAGAATGCTGTGTTCGTCGTGGACCAGGCTGTCGAGCTCTTGGGGCCTAAAGAAGATGTTAGCAACTTGGAGTGGAAAACCTCAAAGATCCTTACTCCAGAGTCCGCCGAGGGTAATATTTGTCCTCAACGATGGCAGGAAGCCTCCCATCTTCGCCTTCCATCATGTCTTCTGTCCTAGGTCTCGACTCTGCCGCCCGCTTTGGCCTATCAAACTGTTCGTCGCAAAGTTTCCCCACCTTGCGAGGCAATGAGCCCAAATCTGCCGCCAAACTGCTCAACTCGGCTAGTTTGGCATCCAGCTTGGATTTGATATCGTATATTCCATTGTGTAGCATTTTCCCTGCTTCTAGTCTTTCGGTTTCCTGTGTAAGATTGATGACCTGTTTTCGAAGCGACACATTTTCTGAAAGTAGATGCGATACTTCTGACTCTAGGCTGCGGATACGGAGAGACTGCAAAGAATTCACCCTCGCGATTTCACGGTTTTGTCGCACAAATCGTCGCTTCACTGGATAGAAACAAAGGAGGCCACACGTCAATTGCTAACTCAAATATTGTAATACAGTGGTAGATTGCGCAAACTTACGGGCATCAATGGACTCGGCCGGAGCTGCATAGTCATTCAACCGAGCCATGATGTAGGCTGGAGGGCAGCGACCACTGCGTAGTCAGATAGATGGAAAGACAATCCTGGTGTGCAGGTGGATTGAACTTGAATTTTATATTGAGTTCACAAATCACACACCAGGAAATGACTGTGTGTTGGGGGGGGGGTTGAGTCTTGAGTATGTATGGGATACAAAGAGAGAGACAGAAGGTAAACAGCGTCAAATGCCAAGCCCTTGTTGATGTTTGTCCGCTTTTGGTTTAGCGTGCCCATCCAGTGTTTGGATGACTCAGCGCCCCTCCCAGCCCTGGAGCCCTGAAGCCCAAGCACCTTGGAGTTGTCCGAGGCACGCGGGGACTTTGAGGGATCGAGATCGCGTTCTTCGTACCTGCTCTTTTGTCTCACTACGACTTTCCCATAATGGTATATTCCTCACGACCAACCTCGATGCTCCCAGGCGCTCCCGGGGGCTCATCTATGCGCCAACCCAGTGGTTCGCAATCGCAGCAATCTTCGGCGCTGTCGGCCCGCATTGCAGCCAAAAAGGCGGAGCTAGAGAACCTACGGCAACTACGCGATCTGAGTGGAACATTGGCGATTCAGATGCAGGCTTTGGAAAATAAGATCTCCACACTGAAAGATGGCACCGAAGGTTGGCCTACCTGTCCCTTGATTCGGGTTGGTCGCTAACTGTACCTTAATTAGCTGTTGCATACGTGCTTTCCAACTGGGATAATGTTATTAGGGCCATCACCCTCGCCTCGAGTAAGTGCTATTTTCTAACGTTGGAATTCCATACTGATTCTCATCCTGTGAATAGGCAAAGCAGGCGGACTCTACGAACCTACCGAATCGGATAATAAGAATGTGGAGAAACCGCGCAACGACCCTCGCCTGCCATCAACGCTGGTTCGCATTCCAGCTGAGCCACGTGATAAGACTGGGGAGTGAATCAGTGACATATCTCTCTCTGCCTTCGACTCCAACCCAGCTGAAACACCCTGAATGATCTCATCTTTTGTGGCACACCTGAATCTTTTGTGGCGGTTTTTCAGGCACCCCATGCACTCGATTTTTCTCTCCGGGTTATCTCGCCCATAAGTCTATCGGGCTACAACATACAGAATTGGTGATTGCATTTTAAGAATGTACTCGGACCTACTTGGCCCGTGTCAGTAGGACCAATCAGTGGCCCTCTCAAAAAAAAGACTATCAAAGGAAGAGAAGAGTTCCTTCGAGATCCAATCATGGGGCTTCTAGTCATCTTTCGCAGAAAGCACGATTTTATCGGAGAATCAACGAGGCCAGCTGATTCCGATGCAGAGTTTGGCGCATGCAATCAAGATGGTTATCTCGAAATGGGGAACAAATCAGAAGACAGGGATTAAGGAGATCATTTCTTCCCCCCCCCCCCCCCCCCCCCCCCCCCCCCCCCCCCCCCCCCCCCCCCCCCCCCCCCCCCCCNCACTACTGCATAGATAATCGTTGGTGCAGGAATAGCTGCATAGCAAGAATATGACTGGATGTCTTAATGAGGATGTGATTGGTGCATGATAGAGTGTATAGCTCAGTATGTAACACTATATACTCTGTGCATGGAACAATAGTTACAAGTTAATAGAGTCTAGGTTTTTTAGGCCATCATGAGACCAGGGGCAGAGCTGAATGGCGCTATGATGGCGATCTGAGGAAAATTCTAATTACCAGTTCGAGGTTCCTGCAGATTTTAGGGGCAACAAAAGGCGAACAGACTCTGCCTATTTAGGTACCTACATATATAGATGTACATACGTACCTCAGGTAGGTACGTACCTTGGGGGAAATACTTGGATTGAAAGTACTATTATAAGTTGATTACATATAAACTATATAGCGTTATAATGTGTCAGGTACTTATATCGAGAGTACCTAGAGTACCTTCGTACCTTTGAAGGTTAATACCTCAATACCTCGTATATTCCTTTTTTTTGTCTTTTTTTTTTTTTTTCTTTTTAAGCGCCCCAAGCACAATAATTCCCAACGCCCCCTCTTTTTCTTCACAACGTGGACTTCAATTCGACATGCGCGATTATATTTCCCCGCAATAGCCGTGTGGCTTTGGTATTTTGTACCTACATATTATTTATGATTATTGCTATTATTGCTATTATTGCCATTTCTCTTACCCTAAAAGAGGACCCCGTTGCCCATTCCATTGCGTGGTATGGCATGATCGCTGTGTGACACTTCAACAATGTCAGTCTTATGAGGTGATCTTTTAGGCTTCTTTACTTCTTTACTTCTTTACTTTATTTCTTGGCTTTTGAGCTTGGATCTTCTCTCTTCTCTCTTCTCTCTATTCTCTTCCTATATACTATCTTCGCCATCTTCACCATCCTCACTATCTTCATCATCCTCATCATTCTCATCACCTTCACTATCCTCATCTCTAAACCCCTCAATCTTGCAACAATACAACCTTTCAACATAACGTCCCTCACATCTCATTGCTATCATTACCCTCATACACCATGTCGACTGAATGGTCTTTGGACTTCTGCCTGGTCTGTGACCGTCAGACCCTGGGCGCTCCCTACTGCTCCCAAACATGCCGTCTAGCGGAGCTGGATGAGATATCGGATGGAATGTCACGAAGATCGAGTGCAGCGTCCACACATTGGTCTGAGATCAACCAGGCCCAAGCTCAAGCCGAGACCAACACCCCAGACACCCACAACCCCTCACGAATCCTATCCGTCTCCTCATCTCAAACCTCACTCTCTTCACTAAAGAGCAACACATCCAATTCGTCCAACGTGGCCGACCGGCTCCAGGATGAATTGCGCGATTATGCATCTTGCTTCGACCAAGTCCGCGACCTGAAACGGCGCATGACTACCACATAATTTCAATTCGAACTCAAAACTCGAAAACTTGTGCTTCTCGAGCTCGTCATTTCACATCTGGATGACACCGAGGGCAAATGCATGCAGCTCTCATACTGCTTTTTGATTATTTGCATATCCTGGGGATAAGGCGTCATTGCTGGAAAAGATACACCATTTCCTTGTCTATTTTTGATTTTCTTTTCTCTTTTATTGTTTTTTGGTGTTTTTCTTGTGGATCAACCCTATCCTACTTGGTCTTTTCTCACGAACCTATACCCCCTCAATTGTTTATATATATATCATGATCATCGGAAGGAGTTGAATCCAGGGCCAAGGTGCCTCACCTAATTAGTTATCTACCAGATTGCCTATAATCAAAAATGGAATTTTGGATGACATCTTGAAAGAAAAAGAAACACCTTGATGTTCTCAATAGATTACTAGCAATGCCCAACCCTTTGGGTATGTTGAATGTATGTGTCATGTCAATTTCCCACGTCAGTCAAGTGTGGGTACCCTGAGGAATGTGTCCGATGTTAACCAACCGGGAATGTTAAATATACTAAAACCACAATTCCTCGACCCATCAACGACAGCAAAGCTGTATGGAACCAGCAATCCGAGATGCACAAGCACAAGCTCTAGCCCAAAATCGCCATATACCCCTCGGCCATCTCTCGACCGTATTTGGCTCTGTGCAGAAGTCCCTTCCCGCCCAACTTGATGCCAAAGACCAAGTGGGCACCGTTTACTGCGCAAGAACATTGGACAGAGCCTTTTCATTCCTCGGCACAAATCGGACCTTGTATTTTTGAGGAATGGCCACCAAACTAGTCGGATCCGAGTTACCCCGGAGAGGGTGACAGTCTGTTGTACCATGAGGTTCGAGGTGGAAGCTGTTAAGGGTGCGGATGAAGACGAGGTAGAGCTCACGATTGGCTAGCAGTGAGCCGGCACACATTCGATACCCCATACCGTACGTAAAGAGAGGCGCATCGGGCTGCTCGAGCCAGCGCTCGGGACGGAACTCATCCGGGTCAGTCCACACGTCCGGGTCTATGAAGGGTTAGATGTATTTGGTGGGGTTATCACCCAAGTAGATCAAGGTTGACTCACCCATGTTGCATGCCCAGGCATTCAGAAAGAACACTGTACCCTTGGGAATGGTGATTCCCTTGTAGGTGATATCCTTGATCGAGGTGCGAGGAAGTGCTAATCGCAGCACAGTGAAGAATCTAGGGTGGTGAGTTCAACGTCCATTCATGGCTCGTTGACAGCGATGAGACCAAAACATACCGAAGACATTCCTTGACCAGAGCTGCAATATACGCACACTTTTGATCATCATTAGAAGAGCACATGGGCTCATCCTCGCCATACATCTCCCGGATGGCCTTGGCCGCCCGATCCTGGATATCGGGACGCTGAGCCAGCAAACCCAGACTCCATGCAACCAAAGTGGTGACAGTATCAAGTCCACCAGAAAGCATGGTCAAACTAATCGACGTCAACTCCTCACTATTCAGCTTAGCCTCCTTATCCAGAATCACGTTGGCCTGGATACAAGGCTTGTGTGTCCCCTTCGCCATGCGATCATCCAAGTCACTATTCAGAGCCCCGAGATACTTATCGCGACGGATTCTCATCTCGGCGGCTTTCTTCGAGTTGGAGCTAAACGGATTCAACCGCAGAAGAGGGATATAATCTTGCAGATTTCCAGTGGTGCTTCGGAACCGACTGATCTCTTCTTCCACCTCGGTGATCTCATCAAACAAGTCCTCTTCCTGCGAGGCAATACGCACGCCCCAGTTCAGAGTCAACGCCAAACTCAAGCTCAGACGCTGGATCATGGGCATAGGGTCAACGGGTGTCTTCCCATGGTTTCCATATCTGTGCAGCTCTTCCACAAAGGCCTTTGACTCGACGTCGAGGTGCGACACGTATGTATCAACGGAGGGGCGGTTGAGAGCCGACGCAGCTCCCTTTCTGCGTCTCTTCAAGGAATCACTGTAAGGTGAGGTTCCAATTGTCGTTCCGGCAGTATTAGAAACAATCTACGCGAGTTAGGTCATCGGGTTCAATTACAAAAAGCCAAAAGTCAGCATATGGCACAACTCCGATCACCAACCTTATGGAAAGTATAAGTCTCAGGTCTGGAACTCAAGGCCTGCGCATTCTGACTGAAAAGCACCTTTGCCGACGCAGCAGAGTTGACCACCACGACGGGGATGTTCCCTAGCTGGATCTGATAAACGGCGCCGTGCTTTTTCGACCACAGGCGATACTGCTCGGCGGCATCTGTGCGAATCTGCGCCAGGTTTCCTATCAACGGCAGTCCGCGCGGACCCTTCATACCCTTGACGCGGGCGGAATCACGAATAAACTCATTAAGGATGACGTAGAGGATGGGGACGAGGATGGCTGCGGCGGCTAGCGATTGGTAGGGATATTCAATCACGCTGCCTTGTAGCGATGCCAGGACAGCGGCGATGGCCATGGTGCTGGGAGTTTATGGGATAGACTTTATTGGAAGTCTATACTAAATTAATCATAAACATATATCTGAAAGGGAAGACTGTAAGCCTATCAGGGTTGGGGGATATATAAGTATGTTAGGAATGTCACAGCCCTCAGTATCAAGACCTCAACTGAATGGAACATTTCCGTGATGTCAAGGTCTTTCAAGCCGCGATCTTCTCTCGGTGTCTTTTATTACCCCACACTACCCCGGATCTTGTCAGGTCTTGTCCAGGTTTCCAGACACACGAAGGGCTCAGCCGAGGTGCTTCCGCACTGCGGAAATCTTCCGCTTGGTCTGAAGGGATATGATTTGTATTAGGTGCATTGCATTGGTCCAAGCATTCCGCATATGTTATACATATCATAGTTGATCCTTGGTTGTAGTTACTCATCTCGCTGAGTGAAGTTAAGTACAACATACAACATATTGTCTCTGTGGTTTTATAATGTGCTCTTTTTTAGAAGGTGTTCACCTCATTGTGCTGTGATATTTTGCTTTCTTTTTATATGTGTGTATACCTCGAATTCCTGTTTTGCGTTGGGTTTGACACAAATGTCTTCAGAGACTGGTATAAATGCCCCTATTTGTTGAGTGGACTTGGTGGGATATGGGAAACCTAGACTAACAACAGAGGTATTCATTATAGCCAGGTATTTTTTAAGGGGCATTCCTCTTGGGAGAATCTATCAGACACCCTTTCTTTTGTATAGTCTTTGAATAGTACGTACTTATATACTCCGTAGTTGCTTATGATATGATGGTCGAGACCACGCTATTGTTGAATAAGGGGGGCTAATGAAGATCATATCCACTCGTGCAAGGACTCCCTTGTTTTTTTTTAAAGAACTTCTAGAAAAAAGAGCCTCATTCGAAAACATTTACAGTTCATATTTCACGAAGACTCGATGATCTGGCTAATATGCCGAGAGACGATGACAACATTCTTTGACCAAAACCGGATATCCAAAGAGGGATTGTCATAAGTGGGGCCCAAGGATAAAGCAGGATAAGCAAGATATATGTGCACAGGGGGGAATTGAACAATTCCAGGAAGTGGAGTAGATCCAAACAAGGTGTTCATAACGGGGGGCCCCTGGGCTCCGTGGCCCGGATGGGGCGATATGGCAATCTGTGACTGGCCAATATTCATGGAGCTCTCAGTCAGGTGGCCACGAAGAGATTGATCGAGTCCAGACCCTTTGAGGTAGATCTGCGGTCCCGGAGATAAAAACGCGGGTGGAATGAATGCAGAATCGGCTTCCCGAATTTATAACTGAATTACATTGGTGATTTTTGAATTGGAAAATCCTGGAATCCTTGAATACTAGGGATATACCCCCTCTGGGAGAGTTAGAAGCTGAAGCTGAGAGGGAATTGGATAGGTGGGAAAAATATGGAAATTTTTTCGCGTCATGTGTATCGGAGTAGAGACCCGAATGGAGTTCCCACTATAGCGAGCCAATTGGTGTGAAAATGAGGGAAACAAGAGGCGCATATGGGACGTATGTCCCCATCTCCACTGCCAAGCTGCTCCAATGGTGAGCTGCCGTGCTCCCATGACGCAGAGCTCTGTCTGTACTCGTGACACCCCTGTATTCATAGTGGAAGGTGTAGCGATCAAGTATCTAGTACTCTGTACCTTGAAGATTATCGCAAATCTTGCCTTTTTCAAAGATGTGTTGTTGCCAAGTTGATCTTCTTAAGAAAATAAAAATAAAAAGAGGAAAAAGAGAAAATCGAGAAAATAGAAAAAGGGAAAGATTCCCATAGCTACTGGTCTTCCCGCCTTTCGCCTCCAGTGTAATCCCTTCTCCCCTCAACTTATCGGACCTCCTCCCTTCTCTCCATCCTCTCCATCCTCTCTATCTCCTCCAATCCCCCCATCTCCCTATTTTGGCTATTCTTACGAAGAATCCCGCCATAATTGAACCATTTAAAACACATTACATCACCGTACATTCGGAACTCCGCAGATAATGGCCGCTCGGCACTCGCGCAAGCTCTTGAGACCTCTCCTCTACACATCCGCGGCCGCCGCCGCAGGAGCAGGTGTTCTCTACATTTCTTACCGTCCGCGAAATATTCCGGGTCTCGAAGCCCCCGCCGTTCCCCCGCCAGGTTACCGTGAAGGCAAATTGGTCCCGCCCAGTTTCCCCTCAATCAAGTCTCGCCTCGAGCAGATTCAGGATCTTAAGCGCAGTAACGACGAGGAGGAATATGATCTGCTCATCATTGGTGGTGGAGCCACTGGAGCTGGTATCGCACTAGATGCCGCCACCCGAGGCCTGAAGGTCGCGGTGGTGGAGAGAGACGATTTCAGTTCGGGTACCAGTAGTAAGAGTACCAAGCTGGTACACGGTGGTGTCCGTTACCTTGAGAAGGCCGTTTGGGAGTTGGACTACAACCAGTGAGTTTTTGTTCTTTTCCCCAAACATATATATTGGGGGTCAAAATGACCGCATACCAGCGTATCTTTCCTAACAATCGCATCGCAGATATGCGCTAGTCAAGGAGGCTCTCAGAGAGCGCAAGTATTTCTTGAACACAGCTCCCCATCTGTCATCATGGCTGCCAATCATGGTGCCTGTTCAGAAATGGTGGCAGGCTCCCTATTTCTGGGCCGGTACCAAGGCCTATGACTTCTTGGCTGGTTCCGAGGGCATTGAGACCTCGTACTTCCTAACCAAGAGTAAGGCCATTGACGCATTCCCCATGTTGAAGCGTGACAACATCATTGGAGCAATGGTGTACTATGGTGAGTAGCGAATCCGGACCCTGCAAAGAAATGTTTTGGGCTAATTTCCGACAAGATGGTGCACACAACGACTCCCGCATGAACGTTTCCCTCGCCATGACTGCTGCGCTCTACGGTACCACTGTAGTCAACCACTTGGAGGTCACCGGACTCAACAAGGATGCATCCGGCAAGCTGTGTGGTGCGCGCGCCAAGGACATTGTCACCGAGAAGGACGGCCAGGTCGCCAAGGAGTTCAATATTCGTGCCAAGGGTATCATCAACGCCACTGGCCCCTTCTCTGATTCCATCCGCAAGATGGATGAGCCCAATGTCAAGGAGATTGTGGCCCCCAGTGCTGGTGTCCACATCATTCTGCCTGGTTACTTCAGCCCCTCAAACATGGGCCTAATTGACCCTTCCACATCGGATGGACGTGTTATCTTCTTCCTGCCGTGGCAGGGTAACACCATCGCTGGTACCACCGACCAGCCCTGTGAGATTGAGGCCCAGCCCCAGCCCACTGAGAAGGATATCAACTGGATTCTCTCGGAGATTCGTGGCTACATCGCCCCCGATATCACCGTGGACCGAAGCGACGTCCTTGCTGCCTGGTCTGGTATCCGTCCCTTGGTGCGCGATCCCAAGGTGAAGAACTCGGAGGCTCTCGTCCGCAACCACCTGGTGACCGTCTCCCAGTCTGGACTGTTGACTTGCGCCGGTGGTAAGTGGACTACTTACCGCCAGATGGCTGAGGAGGCTGTGGATGAGGCCGTCAAGGTATTCAAGCTCAAGCCCAGCCAGCTCACCACCCTTCCCGACATCAGCGGTGTTGGTGGCAGTGGTCTGGTTGCTGATGGTGCCGTCCTCGACGGTAGCTGCCAGACCCACCAGGTGCGCCTCATCGGTGCCCACGGTTTCTCCAAGACCCTCTTCATCAACCTTATCCAGCACTTCGGTCTGGAGACCGATGTGGCCAAGCACCTCACCGAGTCATACGGTGACCGCTCATGGCAGGTCGCTGCCTTGTCTTCCCCTACCAGCGAACGTTTCCCCGTGCGCGGCTGCCGCATCTCCCCCATGTACCCCTTCATTGATGGCGAGGTCCGCTACGCCGTCCGCCACGAGTACGCTCAGACCGCGGTCGATGTGATTGCCCGTCGCACCCGTCTGGCTTTCCTGAACGCCGAGGCCGCCCTCGAAGCCCTCCCCACCGTGATTGACATGATGGCTGAGGAATTGCAGTGGACCACTGCCCGCAAGGATGTCGAGTGGAAGGATTCTTTGACTTACCTTTCGTCCATGGGTCTGCCCAAGAGCTTCATGGGCCTCTCGCGTCAGGATGTCCAGAACGGCCGTGTTAAGCAGGTCGATGACTCCGGGCGTGCGACTTTCTCTCGCAAAGGTATGTTTGAAACTTCAACGCAATTCAATGATCCACAGTGCTGACCATTCTAGAACCTCCCGCGGATATGATTGAGAGTGACGTGCGTGCTACTACTCCAGCTCCTGCAGCAACACCCGCGTCCAATTAGATGACGTGTGGTATATATAGACCGGGCTTGTATAAATAGAAGCGTTCCTTTTTTTTTTCTCAGTTTGTTCCAATATTGATTCTCCGTCATGACACTTTTTAAAAAGGGTCTTTGGAAAAAGACACTTAACCCCTTGAGAAGCCCAAAGACCCTAAAATGACACTTTCCAAAAAAAGACACTCATTCACATTCGGAAAGTGCCACCCAGAACTTGCTAGTAGTTTCGTTTCAACCCCTTCAATGCCTTCAATCTCTTCACTTTCTTCCTTCCTGCATCTCATCAATATCCACACATCATGAAGCCCGACCCGTCTGATGTTGATCTCCAATCGCTGAGCAAGCCCAAGTTGGATTCAGACAAAGAGTCCGTCCTACCAAAGCCAGATTTGGAGGAACAGGACCCTTTTGGAGATGAAAGCCAAGCTGGCGTGAAGTACAAGACAATGGCGTGGTGGTGAGTGTTTCCTTTTTCGGCAGACAGGGCAAAGCTCATCCTTTCAATAGGCAAGCCGGCATGAGTAAGTTCATGTCTTGCATATTGCCCAGCTTTATCTGACATATCCGGTCAGTCATGATCGCAGAAACCATCTCGCTTGGTATTCTCGCGCTGCCCAAAGCGCTTGCGGTACTAGGTCTTATTCCGTAAAATCTCCTCTCCGTTGACTGCAAAGGCCGAGCTAACCTGTTTGCTCAGTGGTGTCCTGACCATCCTTGGGGTTGGGATAATCTCGACGTATACTGCATATACTATCGGGCAATTCAAATGCCGCCATGTCCAAGTACACAGCATGGCTGATGCTGGTGATCTTCTGATGGGAAGGATCGGACGGAGTACACTGGACGTGGCCCAGCTCATCTTTTTTGTGTTGGTGATGGGAAGCCATGTCCTCACTTTTTCGATCATGATGAATGTCCTCACTGAACATTCCTCTTGCACCATCATCTTTTCGGTTGTCGGTTTACTCGCCTCGTTCATGCTGACCCTTCCCCGGCGACTCGAGAGGCTTTCTCACATCTCCTACGTGAGCTTTGTGAGTATCGTCGGAGCAGTTCTCACTGGTATGATTGGGGTCACCCTTGTCAAACAAGGACCAGTGCATGTCCCAGCCTTTTCGCCTTCGCCCAAAGTACATGATGCGTGCCTTGCTATTGCCAATATCATCTTTGCGTACGCAGGACATGTTGCATTCTTTACCCTTTTCTCTGAGCTCAAGGAGCTTCAGGACTTCCCGAAAGCTCTGGCGCTTCTGCAGATGAGTGAAATGGTCTTGTATACGGTGGCTGCTATTGTGATATATGCCTATGTTGGACCAACTGTCAATTCACCTGCTCTCAATTCTGCAGGGCAATTGTTTCGCAAGATTTCTTACGCAATCGCAATGCCCACGGTATGCTCCTTTTTCTCATGGACTTCTTCGAATATGGCCTAACCACTAGATAGATTGTGATCGGGGGTGTGGTGAACGCCCATGTTGCTGTCAAGTTCATTTACGTCCGTGTCTTCCGGGGAACCAATTCGATGCATAGCCAGTCATTCATGGCGCGGTTGGTGTGGGCTGCGATATGTGCGACGCTTTGGATCTTATCGTGGGTCATCGCCGAGGGAATACCGGTTTTTAACGATGCACTAGGGCTTGCGGTGTGTACTACCTATCTGACCTTGACCCTGACCCTAACCCAGAATGAATACTAATCATTCATACTAGAGCTCGTTATTCGCTAGTTGGTTTTCATTTGGTCTACCTGGGCTATTTTGGCTCTATTTGAACCGGAGTTGTTGGTTTCTGACCTGGCGTCAGAGGGTGTTGTTTTGCTTCAATATCTTTCTGGTTTTTCTTGGATTTCTCATTGTGAGTTGCGTTCCACTGTGATTTGCTGGATCGAATTAACTTATGCGACCAGTGCATTGTCGGGTTGTATTCGTCCATTCGATCGATCTTTCATAACCTTCGCGGGAGTGTTGGGGGAGGCAGCTTCTCATGTGCTGACAACTCCCTATATTGATGGAGTAGTCTCAGAGCCATAAAAAAATGATTTGGGAGAGGGGGGGAGATGGGCAATTACACTTAGGGCACAGCATTAGCGCGGTTGCAGATACGAGGAACTTAAGACGCAGAGAACTATCCAGCTGCATTGTATACGATTAAATTGAGTTCTCCTGCAGAGTTTTCATGGATGTAGGCGCAAGTAGCCGAGACTGCGGCTACTGTTCAACGGCCGAGTAGACATGTGCCGGACATCACAAGGGATCCTTGTCCTCCCGGAGCAAAGTGTAATTTCAGGGATTCTAGGGAAAACAAATGACACCTCTTTCAAGAGTATTGGCGCGGAGAAAGAATAAGATTAGACTTTGTGCAATTGTCCTTTTAGGAGGATCAGGTCATACTCTGAAGTTATGCGAGATAGTAGCCTCCTCTATTACCTCGGGAGCAGTTGCCATCACGTGATCACATCCGAATCATTTAGGGTTTAAGTCTCATTAATTACAACATACGATATATACAACATTGAACTATATATATCTAGTGTATCTATCTATCTAGGTCTCTATGGCTATGCTAGGTTGAAGCCATTCAGGGCTTCTACAACACAAAGCGAGAGTTGAGAACCCAGATAGGGGGTAAAAATAGAAAAACCCCCAATTTGCCAGAAATTATGTATGTCGTATGTGGATAATGCTACATAATAAGACACTAACAGTACGTGGCTCATACCGGCGCACTAATGAATGACTCGCAGCTGGGTACCCCCCTGGGGGTTAGCCTCGGGGAATTGGCTGCAGCTAGTAAGGTCACATACCCGTTCGTAGCACCATCTCGGACTAAATTAATATACTAATATAGTGTCTTGACTAGAAGGATATCGAGAAATGAAATGAAAAGGAAATGAAAAATAAAAAATGACAAACAGAAACAATAAACAGAATAATTAAAAAGTCGAAGGAAGCGGGGATATATAGCAAACCCCGTAGACCAAGTACAATATACAAATAGCTACATATGAAATAGCTCCAACTGAAATATATAGCACTAATTCTGATAATTCTCATTAACTAAAGTATATTTTTAGCCTAACAAGTTCTCTCATCTATTGGGTTCCCCTCTTTTTTGCGTAGAAGCCCGACGCATGTATTGTGTCCCAATCAAGACAGGGATCAAGGCCAACCCACACTTATTCCCTGTACAGTACACCAAGGGCAAAGGGTGTAGAGGAAAAGCGGAAATAACAGCAAGGCACACATGCATGCCGTAATCACACCACTTTCTCTCGAACCTGAGAGAAGGGTGTGTGTGACCAGGAAAGACCGGTCCTTGGATTTGCTGGATTTGCTGCGTGTTCGAGTCATTGGGATTCGACCCAATCCCAATGACCCAAGGCAAATCCCGAATCCTTCGCTTTGGGCCTTGCACGGATTGTAGAGTAGCCGTGTTAATCTTCGTGCGGATTTCACATAAGAAGCAAATGAAGTATATCCCGGTGGGATCTGATTCTGGTCCTGGCTCTAGTCTCTGGTAGGCTCGAAGCTGGAACGGTGCCATAGGATATATTAGTACCAGTACCAGTAGCAGTAGCAGCACCCAGCACAAGAACCAACACCAGTACTATGCAAGTAGAATGAGAGGGTGGAGGGATAGCAATAGGCCCCGTGATGCAGGACATTTGGACATTGGGCACCTCCGAACCCACACACTCGGTCCCGATATCGCAAAAGTTCCAAGAGACGTCATGCGGGACCCCACCGGAAAAGAAAATGGGAAGACCCTCTCGGCTAGTGTCCACATTTTGTACCGATAAACAGGCAATTCAAGCGTAGCTAGTTGGCCACGCCATCGCAATTCGTGGTTCCTTGATAATTGTTCCAGAAACGGGCCACGGCTCTCTGGGCGACGGGCGAGCCACGGTAGCGCGTGGTGAGGAAGTAATTAAACAGGGCGAACTCGTCTGGCGTGAGCACATAGCTATCCGGTTGGGCCTGAATACGATTCCAGAGTTCAGTGATGGCAGCCTCCAAGACGGCGGAGGATTGGGCATTCACGGGGCCATCTTCGCATTCCCGAGCGTGTTCTAGGGCCTGTCGAATCTCCGGCCAGCTTCTAGATAGAGGAGGGTTGGGCATATCGTTGGAGAGGGAGGATGTTTTAGGTGTTCAGCTAAGGAAGTGCTGTGTTTGAGAGTTTTGTAAGGGAGTTTTCAAGATTGATAGTTTTTTTGGAGGGGGAGGGGGGGAACTTGGGGAGAAAAGGGAAGATGTGCGTCGCGAGGGCTCGACACAAGCGAAAAGCGTTTCAGGCCAAGTAGAATGCGGAAGATGAGACTGTGCATAAGACTAAACAAGAAAATCCGAATCGGTTTTTTTTTTTTTCAATAAATTAAATGGGAACAGGTGTGGAGCAACGGGAGAGGGAGGGGAGGGGGGGAAAACCGGGCCAGTAGTCCCGAAATGCTATGTTCATAAGTGTGACATGCAATAGAAAGGCAAACACAGAAGGAATTAGTTCACCCTATAGGCTGTGTGGGACGAGGTTCAGGAACAGATCGGACTTCATCCCAAAATTGGAGTCAGCAAATGGATCCCAAGGAAGTACTTCGGTATATCTCCCCTTACTCCAAAGGTTAAGACTTGAAATGGGACCATCGGCGAGACACCCTAGAAAGACACATAATCCATAAGGCCACAAGAGTGGGTGTAGTTTGCATGGGCTCGGGATTGCGCCGCTTCCCTTGGCGTAACGGTTTTCTCGGGCAATTTTAATGACATGCTCCGGCTAGCATCGAACTAAGCCGTCTCGGGTCCAGATGAGACGGTGGGGACGGTGGAAACCGTTGTGAACGTTGAGATGATTCGTCAATGAGTTATAGGGTTCAAGGGTCAGGGTCGCTTATAGCCGTCGACCGCGAGGACCAATTGCGGTTGGAGGAAAAGGGGGACATTAATGGCCCCAGAGCAATGTCCGGTGCATCAGTTAAGTGGAACCCGGTCCTTGCGGTCCTTGTGGTCCTTGCGGTCCTTGCGGTCTTGCGATCTTGCGATCTTTTTTGAGGCTCGTGGGACTTGGATTCAAAGCCATTCCAATCATCGCCGAGTTCGATATAAACACTGCGTTAGCGTGTTCCTTTCTAGCTAGATTTCCCACTTACACATTTATTTAAGTTTTCTTTTCTCTCGGATTTATCCAATTGGTGAAATGGTCTCGGCCGGTGATCTCGCGCTTCGGTCATTTTTGAAATCATGCTTCGTGCCGACATGGATATATACTGGCTTCCGAGACATCATCCAATCCTTCTTTGGCTTTCGGGCAGGAAATTTAACTGAACCCAGTTGTTTGTCCGAGACCAAAACGTTGTCTAGGACTACCAAAGTTGCCGGGTATCCTCTCCGATGCAGTCCAGTCACATAATCACATTCTGTATGGATCCCGAGGTCACATTCGGTTCACTTTTTTTGATTTTATTTCTTTTCTTTTTCTTTTCGGCCTCGCAATGGTCCACCCCTTTTCAATAGAGGCAACGCGTCGATATAAAATGGCGCATCTGGTGCATTCTGGCGTGAATTAGGCCCTTTCAGTATGATCTCCGTTTCCCCGAATATATCGAGCTTGACGAAAGGTATCGGGATTGGAAATGGATTGAACTAAGGCCAACTTTTCGAGAGGATGTATTTGGAAGTCAGCTTCAGAATCCTTATGCTCTTCCAGAGAGAGAGAGTCAGAGGAAGTCAGAGGAAGTCCGAGAGGAAAAGAGAACCAAACCGAAAAAAAAAGGAAAAGGAAAAGCGGGATGTGCCTGGAACGCGGTCCCCCCAACTCTAAAATGTTCTCCTCCCATTTGACCTCTTCTTGTCTTTGCTTCCTCCCTCTTACATCGAGTTAACTCGCAACTCTACTAGCTCTAGTAGCTCTGGGTTCTGAGTTCTGGGTTCCGGAACAGAGTAATTCATGGGAGCTTATCATTGCGAGAGGGACAGAAACCACATGCTATGGTAAAAGGATCAAGGGTTTCTCTCGGCCACATACGACTATCATGAGGTCATGGAGTTCTTGAACTCTGCTATAATCAGCTATAGCGTTATCAGACTTTGAAGTCGTTTCAGGGGTTAAACTTTGACCCTCTTTACTAATACCAAACCCAATAGAACCATCTCAAACAAGATCTGCGACCTTTAATGACGAGAGGCGAGCTTGGATTACGTTGCAACTCTCTACAAAATGCTACTATCGTACATATTGCGTCAAATGCAGGTTGGAATTCGCTGGGAATTTTCAAACCTGCATCGGTGATGGAGGAAGCCTCTCAAATTGTGGATACACCTCGTCCGAGCTAAAACAGCCTGCAAAATGCAGTACTCGGTGAAGATGTGGCACAGCTTCTGTTAGCTGTCATTTTGAAAATGAGAGGGTCAGAGCATCATCCCGATCACTAACCCACCCGGGACGGTGAAATCTTATGGGCTTTGCAAACCCCGAGGAAACCTCATCTAATATTTCACACAGAGCTAGCAGTGTGAATCTTCTCGCCCACTGATGATATAATTGCCTTACCAGCCTGACTATTCGTTTGACAATTTGAGTCTCTTCCTAAATCACCATCTTCCACCGGAACAACTTTTGTTGACCGGGAGAATGATACTGACATTGTGCCCAATGGGAGGATTGATCAATTGTGCCAATAGCTTTTGGAGCTAGATTCTTATGTCAATTATAAAGCCTCGCTCCTTTTGCTCGTTTTGCACTTTCCGTTTCGCCTTCCATCACATTATAGAGCTACCAATTACAAACATAAGTGTACCTAGAGGTTCCGTACATCAAAACCAGATCAAGACGGGGGATTCCTATATTCTGGAAAATACCAAAGCCAATCTACTTTCCAAAGGTTCATAGGATTCCAAGAAGTTCATACTCCCTCCCATAAACATAAGAGCTATACAGTGTACTCAGTCTATGGCTCTTACTTTTATACAAACGATAACTACACCGACAGTGCACGGATGCAGGTAATTCTATAGAATATCAGCATACAAATCCAAACTCGATTGATTGGACCAAAATCTAGCAATAAAAAATTCCCAAGTTTATTTTTCGACATCTCCAGGACGAATGGCCTGGCTTCGAGACCTCGGATCTATAGTGCTGACTCAGCCATAGATAGTCCCAAGATAAAGACTCTCCCCACCAGCGCCATTTCAACTTTTGACCTGCGCCGATCACGAATTGTTCGAACCTGATTTGCCCGAACAAGGTCATTTGAAAGAAAAGAAGAAGAAAAATTGGTTATTGTCACTATGGTTTTCTATTTCACTTCGAATGTCGTCGAACCCTCCGCCTTTATTTATGTTGGCAAGGACAAATTTGAGAGTATGCCACTCGAGTTGGTCAATATAGGGAATAAACTTTCTAACAATGGTCTCAGACGAGGATCTCATCAAATATGGATTGGACAATGATGTCTGGTATGTCTCCCGGTATATATCTGCAGAACTTTGGGACTGATATTCTTGCGCAACAGGGTCAGTTTTTCCCCCTCCGACTTGCGACAACCCCATTGGCCCTAATACCTCTATACAACTTGCAGTTCCACGTCGACAATTTGTCAAGTGCACACGTCTACGTACGTCTTAGAGAAGGCGAAACGTGGGACAACATCGCCCAGCCGCTTCTAGAGGATTGCGCCCAGCTTACAAAAGCGAACTCCATTGAAGGTCAGTCCTCGACAATAAATCCAACCATTTGGTACCGGTCTGGAGGCTGACTTCTGGAAAGGAAACAAGAAAGATAATATCACCATTATCTACACGCCATGGTCAAACCTGAAGAAAGACGGGTCAATGGCGGCCGGTCAAGTCACATTCCATAATCACAAGCTGGTCCGCAAGATCTATGTCAAGCAGCGTGAGAACCCAATCGTCAACCGTTTGAACAAGACCCGAGTCGAGAAATTCCCTGATCTCCAAGCTGAGAAGGAAGAGGACACAAAGAAGAAGCAGCGCGGTGACCGCAAGACCCGGGATGAACAGCGTGCGAAGGAAAAGAAGAAGCAGCAAGAGTATGAACAGCTCAAGTGGCAGAAAGATCATGCATATGATGACATGTTCACGGATGAGAATCTGGAGGCCAGCAACAACCAGGACCGAGATGAGGATTTCCTCGACGACTTCATGTGATGGACATCGCCGTTTTTTCCAATGGAAGATAACCTTTTCCTCTGTGTTACCTTGAACAGCCAGCGAAGTAAAAATTATACCCTCTACATACCACAATTCACATACCATATACCCTATACTAAATACCCCGGAGGGACAATTGATATGAGTGCGACAAAGCAGTCCTGCTCTTCTCTCTCTTGATACCTCTTTTGATCTACTTGGATCATATCCAATGAGATATAGTGATATACACAAAGGGATTCAATAATTTGACATCCTACATAATGTCGGAAGAAACCTAGGATTCTTTTCCAATGGACATACACCATAGGCGAATTCCCTTGCTATACATACTATGGGAACTATAGGCTCGCAGTGTATACGTACATAAGTACAGAACAATGAAAAGATTCAAATATGGTAAGACATACATAGACTAAATAATTACACCAAATACGAAATAAAAATATACTTGAAAAGAGAAACCTGGAAGTGAATGGAGGTTGATAGATTAATCATCCAGGCATAGGGCGGGAAGGGCGCTAGCCCCAGGGCCGTGTTGACAGCTTACCCTGTATGTAACCTTAGGAATTCACCATCCTCCCCCAAGGTCTTTCCAAACACCACACAGTATGAGTGAAGGAAATCCACCGTCTGCTGCCCCAAGTAAGGGCCTCCCCTTTATGACTTGGAACTCGCTGACCCCGCAAAGGCGCAAAGTCCAAGAAGAACAAGAAGAAGGCCGCAAAAGCCAAAGCCGGCTCCAAGGCCGACGAGGATCCAGAGGATGCGCCAGCCGACCACAATGACACTGATGTATGTGGTAAATTTACCCCTGACTGTCATTGCACCTTTGCTGAGACCCCACAAGAACGAGCCCCACGATGCCAACGAGGATCCCATACAAGTGCCAGAACCCAACGGCGCCAAGACCGACACGATAGATGGCAGTCTACCAGATCGGTCTCTCAATAACCCGGAGCCCATGGCTACTAGCGATGCCCCCTCGGGAACCGATATCCAGCCCGACACCACTTCCGATGGCACCGAGCCAAAGGACCGATTCGATGCTCTTGTTCGAGATCGCGACTCGTTACGCGCCGAAGTAGCCGACATGCGGAAATCATTGGAAGAGATTCGGTCCAAGCACACCGCAGATATGGAGGCCCTACAGGATAAATTGGAGGATGCGGAGAACAAAAAGGAGCAGGCGGAAACGCAGTTTCAGATGCTCCTGGAACGAGTCAACACTATCAAATCGCAACTAGGGGAACGACTCAAGGAGGATGCTGTGCGTGTATCTGAATCTATTACTCGGGCGATTTGGCTAATCTTGCCCTATAGGAGGAATTGTCTCTAGCACGATCACAAATCGAAGAGCTTGAAGACGAGAACAACAACTTGAAGGATGAGCTCGATTCAAAGTCCACCCAGCTGTTAGAACTCTCGGGCGATTCAGCAGAGAAAGAGAAGGAGCTGTCCACTCTCCGGGACCGGACAAACTTATCCCAACAGAATTGGTTGAAGGAGAAGGAGGAACTGCTCGAGCAAGAGTCCTACCTCCAGTCGGAGTTTGAACAAGCGAAGGAGGCTATGCATAATTGGGAAATTCTTGCCATGGAGGAGCGATCCATCCGGGAGAACCTGAACGAGAAGGTCGGGGATCTGGAGGAGCAGCTCAGCAGCCTGCGAGATGGTTATGAACGAGCCACCGATGAACGTGACACCCAACAGTCAACAGTTGACGGCCTCCAGCGAGCTTTACAGGAAATCCAATTGGCGCGAAAGCAAGAGCTGCGGGAGCTTGTCGAGAGCTCTGATTCTCAACTCGAGGACCTCCGACGCTCTCTGCGGGAAGCACAGAAGCAGGCTACCGACGCCGACAAGGGTCTCCAGAATGCTCAGGAAGAGATTGAGCGAGTCCGGCCATTTGAGAAAGAGGTTAAAGAGAAGAACCTGCTCATTGGCAAGCTACGGCATGAGGCAGTCACGTTGAATGACCATCTGACGAAAGCCCTACGATTCCTCAAGAAAGGAAAGCCGGAAGATAATGTTGACAGGTACGTTCTTGTTCCCCCAAGGTACCTCAATTGCATGCTGACTCCATATAGACATATTGTCACCAACCATTTCCTGCACTTCCTTGCTTTGGACCGATCCGATCCAAAGAAATTCCAAATATTGCAACTTATTGCTGCATTACTAGGCTGGAACGATGGTGAGTACTGCAATCTGAAATCTGCAAACGAGGAATGCCTCGAGCCCATCTGATGATTCAAAATAGAGCAACGTGAACAGGCAGGTCTTGCCCGCCCAGGGGCCTCAAGTATGCCCGGGAAGCTCCGAGTCCCTGGCACTCCCCTCCGCACCCCGAGCACGCCAAACCTGGCGACGGAGTTCATGGACAATGGTGCCTCCAGTAAAGAGTCGTTAGCCGAACTATGGTCTAATTTCCTGGAGCAAGAAGCGGAGGTGGGTAATATGAATCCATCGCGACGAGGAAGCCACCAAGGGCCTCCCAAATGATTAAAATACAGAAATGTATGTATAAAGCAGGAAATTCATAGAACTTGGATATTGATATTTTGATACTTTGTCCTTTTATAATTCCCTAGATGTGCTCTATAAGGTATGTGTATACATCTATTGATGGATGTATAGATGTACGCCAAGAAAATACAATGGTTCCTTCCGCCTTCCTAATAAATAAATAGGCTAAGCTGGATTTGGACGGAACAAAGCCGTCTTCAGCTAAAGAATCGCTTTCAGTTTTTAATTATATGCCTCTCTCGTCTTTCCGTGTCTTCTCAGCCTTCTACAGACCATTTGTCCGTGCGACTCATTCTGCATCTACAATGACCTCCAATGGTAAGTTAGGGGTGCTTCATGGCAGAACATCACCCCACCGTGCGACAGACATACTGACAATGCTATTTTTCTAAAGCCTACCGCCCCATTGTGATTTCAGGCCCATCGGGGACTGGAAAGTCGACTCTGCTCAAGCGACTATTCGCCGAGTATCCTGATACCTTTGGATTTTCTATCTCGGGTTAGTGCCCACAGTGAGATAAGGGGAGGGAACGAATTCGCAAGACGGCTTTACTTACACATTCACGGAACAGAAACCACACGATCCCCGAGACCTGGCGAGCAAGATGGCCGTGAATATAACTTTGTCACGAAAGAAGCATTCCTCGACCTAGTGGCCAAGAACGGGTTTATTGAACATGGTGGGTTACACTGCAAGCTATAAGAAGATAATCGGACATCAATTAACCGGTCGAGTAGCTCAGTTCGGCGGGAACTACTATGGAACGTCAATCCAGGCCGTCAAGAACATTGCCGAGAAGAAGCGTATCTGCATACTGGACATTGAGATGGAAGGAGTCAAACAGGTGAAGCGGACGGATCTCAATGCGGTAAAGTTGTCCCAGGTAATCCGATACTTGGACTTCACTAATGAGTTCTAGCGTTTCTTGTTCCTTGCACCGCCTTCTCTCGAGGTACTGGAGCAGCGCCTCCGTGGCCGTGGCACCGAGACCGAAGATTCTCTACAGAAAAGACTCACCCAAGCTCAGAACGAGCTTGAGTATGCAAAGCAACCCGCGGCTCACGATAAGATCGTTGTTAATGATGATCTGGAGAAAGCATATGCTGAGCTGCGGGATTGGGTTGTTGACGGTGGTAAGTTCGGTGCTGCGCAATAGTACATACACACTACATTCCATATAAGGAAAATGTGATTTAATCGACGTCATGGCCAGCAAGGGGTGACAGCCCTGTTGGGTATCTTTTCAATCCAAGAATAGAAGTTTCTCTCGTCAAGTTAATTAAGAAAACTAAGTACATGGAAAGCACCAGAGATGGGCAAGAGCACTGAAGTGTCAATTCTCTTTTTCCCCGGCAATACAAGCTCGATGGTTCTCCCAAGAAGACACAAGATGGGATGTAGGATAAAAACGAAAACAAACGCAAAAGAAAGGAAAAATGGGATATCTGCAAGGGCCTGCTGGCGTCAAAAGAGGACAGTAAGTTTTCGGAGAGGGCCGTCGCGCAACGGTCACAGAACTCGCATCAGACATGAAAAGATTACCGAGTTTAGTATCCGTTCATGGCTGCACGCTGCGAGTTGCGGCTCAGCTCCCGGTCCGCGGAGGGGCTGATGGGTCGGTTGCCACCGCTGTGGCCACCAGCAGCGCTGCTTTCCTTCAGGGCAAGCAGCTGCTTGGCACGGAAGGTCTCGTAGTGGATCTGGCTGGTAGTCTCGACCAGATCCTGAAGGTGGGTACGGGTCAAGAAGTTGCGCAGGTAGACGAATTCACAGTGGTTCTCGTCCTCGACGTTGATGACACCCCAGCGGTTCTGGCGGCCACGAACCTGCTTGCCGTTGACAACAATGGTCTTCTCACTGCCGACAACTGAGAAAGGAATGATGTCCTGTAACCTTGGGGTTAATATCAAGTTATAACGGCTCTGTGGGGGTCGAGCATACCTTGATCTGAGCGTTGATGGCACGCTCCTCATCATCGAGCTCGTCATTATCGTAAGGGTACATCTTCAGGTTGTGGAAGGAGAACTCCTCCTTGATGCGCTCCTTGAACGCCTGACGCTCTTCGAGGGTGAGAGAGTCGGACTTGGCAATAACAGGAACAACGTTGACGACATCGGACAGCTTCTTCAGAACAACGATATCGATGGGCTTGAGGCTATGCGGGGTTATTGATTAGTCCGAAGGAGCTCCAAGGAAGCGGAGGAATGCGCGGGGGGTAAACTCACGCATGGCCGGAGGGCTGGATGAAGAACAAGCAGCAGTGAACACGAGTATCTTGGATGTAACGCTCACGCTGAGCGGTAAGTTCCTTGCGGAGGTATGCCGAGTGCTGATCCTTGATGTACTTGACAATGGGGTCCCAGCTGATTATAGTTAGCTTAGACCTAGTAGCTCCAGCGTGATGGGAATCAAATTACCATCGGTCGTTATTGACCTGGTCACCGTAACCAGGTGTGTCGACAATGTTCAAGCGGAGACGGACGCCGTTCTCCTCAATAACTAGTCGCTTGTCAGCTATTCTACATCGTGGACAATTCCCTCAAGGATACACATACTGTGCGACTCTGTCTTGATCTCGGTGGTGGAGCGAACGGGCTCGGTTGGGGTCAGACGGCCCTTGGAGTCAATCAGGTGGGATGCGAAGATAGTGTTGATCAAGGTCGATTTTCCAAGACCGGTTTGGCCTGTCGCGTAAGAGAGATTAGCTGAGGGTCTTATATAATAGAGGCATTGCCTAACACATACCGACACACATGACATTGAACTGGAAACCACGCTTCAACAGCTTGCGCTCGATTTGCGAAGTAATGCTGTCAAAACCGACATGGCTATGGGGGAAAACAGTGGGCTGTTGAGCCGAAGCTGCGGTGGTAGCGGCGGCCATTATGAATGGAGAGAGAAATTGAAGCTTTTGAGACGGAGAAATAAGAAGCCCTTCCCAAAAAGACCCGAAGAGAAAGAAGCTTGGAAGTAGATGAAGCAAGAGCACCCCCCTTATTATCGTCTTTCCGAACTCAGGGGTGGCCTATTCCTAATTGGGACTAGCGTCTCTCCACGAGAAAACCACCAACTTTCACTTTTGCTTCATTGTGATCTGTGATAGCTCATCACATAGCCTGCCGATAACTCAATTCCACTTTTTTGTGCTTGAAACCTATTTCCAACAATGGCATTGCGCCTTCTCCCTTTCGCTCCGGCAAACATGTCGCGCTCACTTCTTTCCGAGTCCCTCCAATTCCCTCGACTCGCTCGCTTCCTCCCGATTACACCCATCGCGACTAGCGGATTCCTACAACCGGTTTCGATCTCTCTCAATATCCCGTCTATCCTCTCGGATCTTTGGGATTCCGTCCTGCGCGCCGTGCCTAAGAAGAAGACCTCCCACATGAAGAAGCGTCATCGACAAATGGCCGGCAAGGCTCTCAAAGATGTGAAGAGTCTTAATAAATGCCCGGGTTGTGGCCAGATCAAGCGTGCCCATCTTCTATGCCCAACCTGTGTCAAAGGTAGGATTTGAGTCCAATCGGGAGGACCTTTTATTTGGTTATTGCAGAAAAGCTGACTAGTCAACAGACATCAAGGAATCGTGGAGGACCCTGGACATGGCATGAGAGAGCACTGTAAAAAATAAGGGCTTGTCTTTCAGGAATCAGGATCATCATTCTCGATATCCTAATCCCAAGCCCCGAAAAAAAAGAGATTGTATGTTGTATTTCTAGAATTGGTTGTGGATACATGCTGCATGGCACCTGGCGTCTGGTTTTTGCGGGGGAAATGTTTCGATATGATTTTTTATAACAACTCGATCTAGTAGATCGAATTTGAATGCTGTGATATTTACAATCTACCCTTTTCCATTTAAATCCGAAAGCCAAACTACAATTGTAGATGTTATAGTTATGCCAGTTCGGGTAGAACTAACCGAACATCAAGTTAATGTTTATGCTATTACAACTTCAGCGCTCTATATAGATGACCATTTTGACTTCCACCTACTTCACTGCTACAACATAGGTTTGTAGCCATGTACATATGTCGTCAAGACGGGAGCCCTGGAAGTACTAGATAGTTTATAGTGCCAAGTACAGAGAGTGGCACTAATTCAATCTTGATTCGCTTTAACGCCTTAATTATTTCGCTTGCCATTCAACAATATCAAGATACCCGAGCCATTAAAGTAGATAGAAGGATAGTACGTATACCATTTATATTGGTTCGTGTGGTAACCACATGGGCATCAAAACCGCATCGCTATCGATAATAAAGGCGGAACGGGCCTTCGGGCCCCAACGTCATTGCTCCTCCGCAAGTAAAGTCTCGACACAGCCGTGAAAGAGCACGGCATCGTCAACATGGTAAGATCATGCCAAAAGATACTGATTTTCATTGCTGGCTGACATTTTTAGTCGAAACAATACCTCTCGAGGGGTTCTGCGGACAATGGTAGGCTTCCGAAACCTCATATTCTGGGTGACAAGCTTGATTTTGGCGCTAATATTTGTTTTGCAGCGCACATTGTTGATATCTTCTCGCTGGCTATAACAGACAAGCAAATTCTGTCAACTTCGGGTGCCTCGTCTATCAAAGTGCATTCCACCACGGATGCTGACTTCCCTCTGGTGCAGTCCATTGATGGTGCCCATACCATTGGCTGCCACCACATCGTGACCAATGGGAATGGCTCTCGTGCAATCACCGCTGGGTTTGACGGCCAAATCAAGGCCTGGTCTTGTCAGGATGGTCATTGGGCTGCAGACACAAAACTGACTGGTAAGCACTGCCCCTCTTTAATAGCCCACAAGGTGCAATGTGGCTAATAAAAGGATAGACGACCTCATGGATGCCGATGCTTGGGCCATAGCTATTTCTGAAGATGGTCAGTATCTCGCTGGTGTTACGCAGGAAGGGCGCATTAATGTATGGGATTTGGCTGCCGATGGCACTCGGATTCGAGACCATGAAACCAAAGGCAGCTTTGGTACTTGCATTGACTTGGTGAGATCTCAAATTCTACAGCCAGAGAGATGGTCCCTGCTAACTTGGGCGCTTAGTCTCCCGATGGCCGATTGATCGCTTCGGGCCACGAAGACGGCGCGGTCTACATCTTCACCACCGAAACAGGCCGCATGCCATTCTCTCTGTCAGGTAAGCAAAGTTGACCGAGTTGAGCAGAAATGGAATTTCTAATTCGGACTAGGCTTGGTAAATCCCGTACGAGCTGTGGCTTTCTCGCCCAAAAGCAAGATCCTAGCGGCTGCTGGCGACTCCAAGGTCATCGTGCTGTACGATACTTCCTCTGGCGAACAAATCGCCAATCTCTCAGGGCACTCTGCCTGGATCTTGTCCCTTTCCTGGAGCGACACTGGCGAGTACCTTCTGAGCAGGTCAGTCAATATCCCCTGTATTTATATGATGGTAAGCTGACATTTTCAAGTTCGTTTGACGGCAAGGTCAAGGTTTGGTCCATGGAGACCAAGACCTGCGTCGCTACACACTCAGAAACGGATAAAGCCGTTTGGAACGCAAAGTGGCTTCCCAAGATTGGCAAGACAGAAGGGTTTGCCACCGCTGGCGCAAACCGCAGCATTGCATTCTACCGCGAGGCTACTGGGTAAAAATGGAGTAGCTGAACATGGGGTATTGCAGAAATGTCCTTGCAACTGTGTTATGACGATTTCAATGGAACTCGAGAAACCTTACTGAACTATGAATAAAAATCATGAAATTCGTATTGGAATAATAACAATAACCCAACTGCCCATCTATTTGTTCTTACTTCATCGCCTCAACAAACAACTTGCGCATCCGCTTCAAGAACGCTCCAAAGTCTCGGTCATCGTTGACGAGATCTACCACATGCTCCAAACCATCCCGGTCAACCTTGGGGCGCGTATGGAAAACCTCGTAGTCGCGACTGGCAGTGCCCAATTCAAACCAAGCCTCTGCCTCCCAGTCCTTCTCCAATAAATGGCTGTAGACAAACTTTAATCGGTCCTCACGACCGGCGCCTTCAATTCGAATACAAAGGTAATCTTGCCAAAACTCCAACTCCGGGAAATTGAGACGAGATTGCGCATCTAAATGCTGTGCGTGAGACTTTTGTGCCTCGACCTTTTGATTGATAGCCTTCTGAGTCTCGGCGATCTGCTGCTTTAGGCGGTCGCGTTTGGCGAGGCGGGAATCGCGTTCCAAAGTGATTGATGAGATAGCTGCGTGCATTTCAGCAGCCTCGGCGGCTTCTTTTTGGAGGGTTTGTTCATGGGTTTGTGATTTGAGATTGAGAATTTCGATATCGCGCTGTCGCATGCGCTCGTCCTCTGGTAGGTTGTGTTAGGTACAATCGTGGGATATAATAAGAAACAGGGAGATTTCAATTATTGACCCATACCTTCATATTCAGCCAGATTAATGTGAAACTGGTTTCGTTCCTCCAAGACTCGTTTGCGACCGCGCTCAATAAACGCGTCGAACTTTACTGTGAATTGTGCCATGGTATTGCGTAGGTCCTCAAACCCAAAGTTGATGCTGGGCAATGAGTCTGCCATTGACGGCGCATCCGCCGAGGCAAGCGGTGGGCGCATGCCACTTGTCGAGAGCGACGGTTCGAATGAAGAAGTCATAGTATCTGAGAATTAGATTGTGAGTGGTGAATGGTGAAGTTGAAGTTGAGGTCAACGCGGGGACAATGCCAGAGTTGTTTTGGGTTGCGGCGCAACAACTCCGAGTCTCTTATCGATAAGGACCAAAAAACTTTCCGTGCAACTCTCCAGGGCTCTCTTGCTTCATCCCCACATTATGCGCATATGTATATGACCGAGTGGACTCTTACAGTTGAACCAGTCTAGACATGGTTTGGCCAAGTCCTGAACTGATCGCAAGAAGCAAAGAACGATCCGATGGATGAACATCCAGGCAGTGCTCTCCACTATGGGCAAGTAGGACGAGCTGTCTACCTTCCTGATGAGCAAGACTGGACATTTACTCGCTCTTTTGCTAGGCGTAAGTACTTGAGCCTCAATTTTCAGAGACCAGCTAACATGTTCGCAAGCCCCATCCATCCAGTATACCGGAGTGACCAAGACAACAATCCCCTCGCCTTTTCGCCCACCCAAAGCTCGACCAATACCCAGAGTACCTGAGAAAAACACCAGGAAAGTGATCACAAATGCGCATCCCGATTTGGCGGCATCATGGTCCTCTATTCGCGCCGAACCTTTGTCGAAAGCTGTTACGACTATAACCGAGAAATATGACCCTGAGATCTCTGAGCTTTTCGATATTGGTTATGCGGTGGACCAAAGGCGTCATGACACAAGGCTGCGCTCGGTTCCAATTGCGGTGGCCGTTACCGGGGAATCTCGTAATATAATCTCCTTCCGAACACTGGAGGAGGAAATTTTGGAGTTGAGCTCTCCACAGAAGTTAGCGTTTCGTGCTCCATCAATCAGCCCCATTGAACTGTCTGAATGGTCCAATTGTGGCGCACCGGTACGTCAAATACACTTTGCACGTCCCTTGGAGGAGAAGCCCATGTTCATGGCCGCTCGTCTCCCCACAATGACTACAATATTCCGACCTCTTTACCACTGGGACCCTGTGCCTATGCATTTCCCAGAAGATGCTATACTGGGATCCTCTGCTCACTTAAAAAACTCTCGGCTGGATGCGAATCCCATCGCGGAGATACCTGTGTCGCGAACAGGTGGCTTCTCACATGCCGATGTGACCTTTAACCCTTGGTATCAGAGACAATTCGCCGTTGTAGATACCAGAGGCAAGTGGAGTGTCTGGGAGATCACCGGTAGGCAGCGACTCCAGCAGTCCAACTGGGCTACCGAGCTCGTCAAATCAGGCTCGTTGCCCTTGCGGGATTATAAACGCAAACATAGTTGCCCTCGGGTTGATGGCTGGGCATCTATCGAGTGGATCCATAATGTTGGATTGATAGTTGTCTCCAATCGTCACAGTGTCATAATCTATGCCTTCACAGACAACCAGATTCCACCACGCACGGTTGAGCTTGGAATGAACAAGCAATCTGAGTGGGTTCTAGACGTCCAAAGAAACCCACGCAAGCCATCACAGTTCTTTGTCCTGACGACAACTCGAATATTGTGGTTTGATGTCGGAGCCATACGAGACGAGGATGATGCAAGTCTTTCTCTATACCCTCAAGTGTCCTGGAGGCACTTTCGAGACCCTGAAGACACAACTTTGCGACTTAGCGACATAGTCGTATATCAAGGTATGTGCTAGTGCGACTGAACACGGATTTCAAATACTAAATTAGTATCTAGACTTGTATCTCGTTCTGTATTCACAGATCACTCGGCTGGTACAAGTATTCCCATGTCCCTTTATATCTGACGAATATACCGAGTGTGTATCTATACCCGATCCCCTGGTGTTTGATGCGCCCCTGTTGGATGAGATACCGCCAACTAAACGTGACTCTGTTGTACGATTCTCGAGATTCGTTTTTAGAGAGATTGCCCACTCTGTTACACCAATGGGTCGCAATTTCTATAACGCCCACTTGCCATTGATCAAGCTTTTCTGGATGGATTCGGATTTAGCCGTTCACGAATCTACTTTCAAGGCCCCGCGTGGAGATTCAGACGAGCCGGACTTGTTTCGTCAAGATAGTGTCTTGCGGTTAAGAAGGCGTTATGCTCCGACATCATACGTCAGACCCACTGATGATTTTATTGTGGATGATTGGGACGAATCAGCGACAAAGAAAACGATTGTTCGGCGCTGCAAGCCCAAAATTGGCCGCATTGGCATAAGGTCGGACTTGCAGTGGACCTTGGATTTTTCTGGCGTCTACAGAATAGCGACAGGGAAGATGGAAATTCGTCGGAAAAAGCAAAATAAAATACCAAGGCCCAGAGCAAGGACAATTGGTGGGTTGCTGGCAATTCTACAAAGCGAAATGAAGAATGGATCGAAGCGGCCTCCAGGCAGGACGATGTTTGAACTGACCAGCAAGAGGCTTTTGGCTGAGGGTCTTGATGAAAGTGCAGATGAGGTGAAACGACTCATTTCAGCACTCGTGCCCGAGCACGCGGACCCCGACGCTCACTGTCGGTATATGCTTCTACCAATCCCATCCTCAAACGGGAGTTATGGCATGCCAGCCAAACTGTCAGGCGAAGCAGACCGGGATCTTCTCAATACCTATGATCAAATGATCGATGATTGGATGTCTACCCTGCCTCGCACCATCCCCGTGCAGACACGACTCATGAAAGAGAAACTCATTCGGGGAGTTGTTGCCGATCTCATCCTTTCACGCCTAATCAAAATATCTACCTCATTAGACAGCATCATACTATCCAAGCCCGCAGATCCGGTCGAGGAACGAGCAATTCAGGAGGCAAATGAGAAGGCTGCGGCGAAGAACAAATACCAATCGAGCTACTTCGCATTACTATCATCACAGACCGCTGCAAGCCAGGCCAAAAGCCGAACGTTTGGATCTAGACGGGACACGGTGCCAGTCCAGCAATCCAAGTACGCTGCAGTCCCAGTCCTGGGTGGCCTCTCAGCATTCATCACATTCAAGACCCCACGTCCAACACCACGGAAGGTGGCAAACCTCCTCTCCCACTGGCCGGTGGGAACCAGCCCCCAAAATTATATATGGGACAGGATCGATGACGAGGAGACGCGGAATTCGCAGTCACGCACATCCAAGAATAGACGGAAGAAGCGCTCACAGACTCGTGACCAATCCCTCCCTTCGACTCCGGCAGTGCCTATGGTCCGAGCATGGGGCAGTCAGCCGCTTGCACCTCCCCGAGTGAACATCAACAGTAGTCAGCTCGATAGTATGCCGATGACCCAGATGGAGCGGGGAGCTTTTGGAACTCGTACACTCAAGAAGCCAAAAAAGAAGAAAAAGAGACAAGCTGGATTTTAGAATTGACTTGTATATACCAAATAATTCAATAATACATACTCTACTATATCGCCTCTTACTATATAACATTGGTCCACCAATGGCGAATATGGCTCATTCATCAAGGGATGAAGTATGACAAATACAGAATATGGAAAGGGAGAGTAAGTACAACATAGAAAAGTTAATAGTGTACATAGTTAACAGTAAATATATAATCTTCTTTCTCTCCCTCTCTATCTCACTCTTCAACGATTTCCCCCCTTGTTGGATCTATCTGAAACCACAACCCTCAAAAAGTCCACTGTTATCCGCCAAGCATCTTCTTCCCCTCCTTCCAACACCCCGCACCAACACAAATCAAATTCCAACCATGTCTGACCACCAATACAAGTTCAATGTGACTATGACCTGCGGCGGATGCTCCGGCGCCGTGGAGCGTGTCCTCAAAAAGCTTGAAGGTAAGCGATATACCTGTTTCATCGTCTTTTCCATCCTGACACGTTGGTCTTTAGGCGTCAAGACCTTTGATGTTAGCCTCGAGACCCAGACGGTCAATGTCACCACCGAGCCTACTCTTTCCTACGATAATGTGCTGGAGAAGATTAAGAAGACTGGCAAGACCGTGAACAGCGGAGAGGCGGATGGGGAGAGCAAGGAGGTTTAAATTCTCTCTTATTCTGGTGTTTCCGGTCTTATATACCCTTTTTCTTCTCTCCTTTGCATGAGGCCTGGGATTTAAACCCCACGAGCTTAGACAAGCTCGTGGAACTCAGGCCCAAGACTAGACCGCACGGCTAGACAGTGCGAGACAGTACTAGACAGAACATACCAACAGCATGCGTTCCAACCTTTGGAAAGTTTGAAGGTTGCTCTGGAATTCCCTATTACTAAATGACCATGAGAAATGAAATAGAGATATAACATGGGGGAACCGTAGTTCCCGATTCAAATTGGTATTGAGACCCGTGAGGAAATGAGGTTCTAAGAATATGCACAAGGGTATCATGAACAACAATGCACTATGCAATGCGAATACAAAAAAATCTCATAACAAAAAGGGGAATTTGATAAAAGGTAGAATTAATTAATCGACAATGACAACATGTCTTCCATCAAGGATGGAATAGTAGGGTGGGCGTGGTTCAACTCTTTGAACGTAGACTGGGCGATCTTGCTCCATAGTCTGGGATGAGGGAGGGTAATTGTAGGACGGTCTGTATCTGCATTAGTGGGGAACTTCAATGTTCGCAAGGCATAGGGAAAGTTATGTTGTTGGACTGGTTGATTTCCCTAATGAAGGCTTACCGCAAGGAGTTGAACCCGCCACTGGCTGGCCTTTCGCGAGGGACCTGAGGGGGAGACAAGTGAGGCTGGATCTTTCCTATGGCAGAGTCCGAAAAGGTGCGAAGGTGGTCATGGGAAGGAGCCACTCGCGGTCCTATGGGCAATGGGCCACGTTGATCCGACGCAACCTGGGTCTGTGGCAGATTTTTTGTGCCAACGTGATCCAGGTTTCTAGTCCTGCCGGAGGGAGAATGGTCTCCAATGGGCCTGGCTTCGGATTCTGCACGCCTGGGGGCGTATTCAAATACGGGGGGCTCGCGGTGATCAACATACCGGACAAAGTCCTCAGCATACAGGTTCCTGTCTGGATGGACATTCTCCGGCAAAGGACGTCCACCATCAATGCGGGTGTGTCGAATTGCCCGCGGGTCTTTCGGAACACGGTCCGGGCGGAGACTACGATCACCATGGTAAGGATACCATGGTCCAGAATTGGAAACGGCTGGAGCCGCCCTGAAGGTGCGATCCCCTTCTGAGGTAAGAATACTGGTACCGGAAAGCCCAGCTTGAGGCTGAGGCTCGTGTGGTCCGCTGATATGCTGTCGACCCAAGACTGACCTTGTTTCTAGGCCATGTTGTGCGTTGGAATAGGAAACCTGCTTCCTTTCCCGCTGGTGTCCTAAAACAGGGGGCTTTTCCACTGGCAGATAATCCCGACGGAAATGAAGTTGGTCCGGGGGTCGGTGGTCCGGGACAAGCTCAACGCGACGGTAAGAGTGTGGCCCGAATCCTTCGGACACAGGAAGTCCCATAGGCCTTGCACTCCATGGGTCTGGGCGGGGATCAGTTCGAGAACCTTCACGACATGCCAGACGTCTTCTTTTGCTCGCTTGCTCGCTTTCACCTTCCTTTTCGATAACATCGGAGTGATGCATCACCTCTCCTTGAGGCCGCCCTGGCGTGACCGACCGGAGTGACATTTTGTTGGCCATATGTACCAAAGGATGCGCACCGTCAGTCCGCCGGTTTTCTGATGGCCGGGAATTTTCAATCGAGGGCAAGATAGAGTCCTGTGTGTTTGAACCTGGTCTGAGAGGAGGGGAGCTGACACAATCAGGGCGGCGTCCCACTGGGGTCAATTTCTGACGATTGTCCTTTGGTCCGCTCACGAACACAGGTGCGTTGGTCCTATCCGACTGAGGAGGCAGTCTTTCTTGTCGAAATCTGGGTTCCATCCTGGAGGGAGGAACATCCTGCGAGTGGGTCATGTTCACATTTCTAGGTCCAGAGAGTTCTTCTAGGATTTGCAACTCGGGTGATTCCTGATTAGTTAGTCCAGTTGGCCTGGCGTTCGGTTTTTGTTGGGCGTCCGAGTGAAGATAGTTCTCCTGGACACCTACATGTCTCTTGGCCACCTGTGGGTCCATTAGTGGAATAGCGGGCACCCGATGTGCCTGGTTATCATTACTGGCTGAGCCTGGAGCGACACGCCGATGAGCCTCGGCGTGGTGGGGAACTGTATCCTGGCGCCTAGCAGCGGATACTTCTTGAGCAGCAATGCGCTGCTCGGTATATCGTGGGCTTTGGTTTTCAGCCGGGGCACCAGAAAACCTTGGTTGTTCAGTGCCCTGCATACCCTCTCGATATTCCTTCACAGCGCGGGTCCATGCTTTGTACCTGTTAAATCCTCGACGGTTGATGATATCTGTGGCTGGGGCTCTTGTGACAAATCGGAACCCAGGCGGCGCTTCTTCCTCGGATAGTTCCCGTGGAAGATCCCGACCAAGAGGGTTCGTGTTGTTGATAGGCTGACACCGGATCTCGTGGGCCCGTGTCTCGCTTGGAAGTATTTCCACACTGGTGTTCTGGTGACCTGCTGAAGCAGCCGCATCTTCTTCTGATTCACTGTCTTCGTCGTCTGAGATAACGATCACCTCGCGGAAAACATCTTCCAGAACTGTCTGGCCATTCTCATCGTCCCCTCGCCACTCAATGACTTTGGCTAGAGTTGTGTGTTCAACAACCCCTCTTGCTTCATGGAATGAAGTGGTTTTAAGGAGGCGATCGTAGTCAGTGTAGACATGTCGAACGTGAGCAACCACAGCGAGTTGGGCTCTGCGAGCCAAAGGCAATTCGGTGGCCGTCCCAACTTTTTTCTGACCCTTTTTTTTTTTGAATATCAGGTTTTCCACGTCCTCATTTCTCAGGTCAAGAGTGGGTATATACGTACCTTTTGAAAAGCAGTCTTGATAATCTGATTCAAATCTTTGTCCGGTATATTCGGAAAGAGATCCTTTAAGGCGTCCCGTGCCTGGGTATTGAGTGTTATTTGAGAAATTTCAGAATCGGCCTGCGTGGAATTCTCTATTCTGTCCGTGGGAAAGGTACTGGGCACTGTTTTACCCGTGCTTGTGAGGTAGAACCCCAGCTCTGAGCAAACGGCTGCCACCACGGTACTAGGGAAATGATACCCTATCCGATGAACATGCTGGGACAGATTATGATGGCGATGGTGTGGGGTAGTCTAGAAAAAGATAAGCAGTGTTGATCGTTAGTAACCAGATAGGGTTCTCACTGATACTGCGTAGATTTGGAGACCCTCGTTTCGACACCGCTCCTTACACGTTGTAGTGAGTTGTGGATTGCCTGCAGGAATGAAAGTGTAACCGCTTGGTGCTTGCGCTTCAAAACAGATCTGTATATTGTTAATTATTTGGCCTAGCTGAAGTAGAAAATATACATACGACACTCCGAAGCTTTTTCTTTTCTTGGGTTACTGATTCCATAATAACCTTGTGCCTTTTCGCTCTCCTTTGGATAGCCCGGCCGGGGCCATGCCTGACCGAGGCCGAGGCAGCCCTTCTTATGACACGGGCCATACTTCTGGTTCAGCTTATCGCAGAACCTCGCGAAGATGAAGATTTTAGCACATGATTCACGTCATGAAACATGTATCACACGTGTGTGATATGAACGAGTAGATGGTATGTATTTCCTTTTATGGGTCAGGGCGAAGGATGTGTGGTCAGGTCAAGTCAAAGTCACGTCTAATGCACCGCAACAATGCAAAGAGTCCGAAGTAAAGCCACCCCGCGGTCGCCCGAAACAGAAAGAAGGTCCTTTAGTGTGAGCCGTTTGGGTTAACCTTGAGCAAGACCAGGTATTAAGTAGCAAGGCACAAATAGAAAAGCAAGAACGAGAATATCAGGAGAAAAGATGGAGAGAGAGAGAGGGGGAGAGAGAGAAACAGAGACAGAGACAGAGAGAGACAGAGAGAGAGAGGGATTGATAAGATTGCTATTGCGGCCCAAGTCACCTCTCCCGATCAGGCTAGTCCTGCCTGAGGCTTCAACCTTTCCCCAACTTTGACCGTCTTTTACTCTTCCTTTCCTCCAATACCAAGCCAACATTTGAACTCACCACTTCGGATCTCCGTTGATTCCGTCTAATTCCGTCTGATTGCACATTTGCCATTCGGTGGCTCGGATTTGTCCAATAAATCGGACATGAACGCTTCAGTCCAGACCATGAAGGTGGATCAACGAGCTATGGTCCACGCATACCGTCACCTCTATCGACAGGGGTTGAAAGCGATTCAGTATTCGACACCCAGTCGCTATATGCTTCTAAAATCCTTGCGACAATCCTATCGTTCCTCCCCCTCCGAAGAGTTTGATCCTGCCAAAATCAACAACACCCTTCGTTTTCTTGAACGAGCTACCGAGGTCGCGGGCATGGAACACAAGATTTTGAAGAACCTTCTGCTAGCTAGATATTGGGAACAAGGTCACCTTGTGAGAGAGTCTCGCGTGTGAGTGACCATCAACAGAAGTGGAGAAGAAAGCCGCTGACTTGGCCTCAGTCCACGATCCCTGGGGCTCGGTCATGTAGAGAACCAATTGCGGACAAGCGTCTTTGACCATTACAATTTGACACTTGACCGTTTGAATGAGAGTCTAGGGACATGTCTCAGATGATTCGAACTCCGCAGTTCTCGACCTTTCCCTCTGTGCTGATCCAACCCGCTACGCCAGATCGTGCATCCGTTAGGCCTCAGTGCTTCCCTTGGGCATGAATCCATATCGACGCGAGGCAGCTCGCCCAAAAGGGGTGTTTGCACCCGCCGGGTATTGCCGTGATCAGAACACCGGTACATATCTCAATCGCATCAGGATTCCGTAAGACACGATGGCCCGTCCTGCCTTTGGGCCAACATCGTGCGTTGTGTTTCCGGACAATCTTATGGTGTACAACACATTATGTCAATGGCACTCTACATGCCTCGGAATTCAATACAATGTCGTAGAGCCAATCATTGTCTACAGACTTGAGACTCATTGGTAGATAGATAGCATCGGCCGCTGAGCGTAATGGCTCTGCAAGAAAGACAGCCTTGATGAGAAACTACGTGGTAGAATACTTTGAGCAAATTCTAAACCAAATGATAGTCCATTCTATTTACCCAATATTCGCTGATTTTCGAGTCCAGCCTAGTCCAACCAAAAATCGTCCCATCTGTTCAGGCTCCAGCCCCAGACCATGTGACGATGATTCAGCACCGGAGGCGGTGCCCGTAGACGTCACATGTCACGATGTCTGTTGTTTCAGCTCCAATTTTGGGTTTGATTTTGCTTGATTTCAAGCATCTGAAGTGATTTAGTGAGATGCCGGTCTACAGCCCTTCATGAGTGGTTTAATTTCCTCGTTGCTGATCCAAATTGGAATACGATCCCCCTTACCACCCCAGCCGAGCAGGCAACCAAATGACGACCAACCGAAATTCCACCTGAACGAACCCACAAACCCCTCGAGTGATAGTGAAGACCATAAATTGGTTTCTCAGCCGGGCCAAGATCACGAACAGAAATCGAACTGCAGAGATGCGGGTGCGGGGTGCCTGCATAGCTCTCCTTTCTTCACAACCCTACCTAAAGAGATGGATGGCCGAAACTTGCAACCGGAGGGCACTCAATCCGTGACCCACAACACACCCACCTCCATCCAAAACATAGCTGCGACCACAGACGGCTCATACGATCCCACCCATGAAATCAACGTCACCGTGCAGCCGGACAATTTATCGAATCCACAGCCTTCACACCCCAATGAGGCGCTGAACTCGCATAATGAGCCACAACCTGCAGCTTCAGCGATATCCATCAGCGAGCCTCGGCGATCTTTGGACAATGCCTTTGATCCGGAGGGATTGGCGCATTCTTCGCTTCCGGCGGATGATGGGATGGGAGTTCTGAGAAGCAAGATCATCGCAATCAGGGATTTGCGGCTCACCAATGTTGAAAAGGCGCGAATGGTTCACGGTCTAATGACAGAAGGTTACAACTCGGCCCGTGAGCTTCCAAGCACCCCTGGCATGGGGGTTTTCTCACCTCCATCGAGCCCACAAAGCTTAGGACTGCCAACAAACCAAGAGACTCCCCGGGCCTGGGAGATCAATACTTCTAGACCGGGCTCACCATACTCTGAATCAGTTCCTCTATACGAGAACACCTTCAATCTCACACCTGAAGATCTGCAACCCACTTTCGTGCCCAAGGCAGAAACAGAGCCACCAGAACTTGAGACTGGGGATGAAGACCGTGACACAGAAGAACAAGAAGAGATCATTCTAGGATGTGTGCATTATCAGCGCAATGTCAAACTTGAGTGCCACACTTGCAAAAAATGGTATACCTGCCGCTTCTGCCATGACGCAGTGGAAGACCACTCTCTCGTTCGTCGAGACACCGAAAATATGCTTTGTATGCTATGTGGGCATGCACAGCCCGCAGCGCAGAACTGTAGACAGTGTTGCGAGCAAACCGCACAGTATTATTGCGAGATTTGCAAGCTCTGGGATAACGACAGCAACAAGAGCATCTATCATTGCAGCGACTGCGGTATATGTCGAATTGGACAGGGACTGGGAAAAGATTTTTTCCATTGCCAGGTAAGGGCTCCGACATGGGTTGGACGATACTGGTACTGACAACATTACAGACATGCTCTGTTTGTCTTCCTATGTGTATTGAGAACACCCATCGTTGCATTGAACGCTCCACCCAGTGTGACTGTCCCATATGTGGCGACTACATGTTCACTTCTCCAGAAACCGTCGTCGTTATGCGATGTGGCCACAGCATACACCACAAATGTCTCTCGGAGTACTCCAAAAGTTCCTACCGTTGTCCCCTTTGCAGCAAGACCATCACCAACATGGAATCGACATTCCGAAACCTGGATCGCACCATTGAGAGTCAGCCTATGCCCGTCGAGTTCAAAGACACCAAAGGCCTTATTTACTGCAACGATTGCGGTTCAAAGTCAGTTGTCAAGTATCATTGGCTCGGCTTAAGATGTGATTTGTATGTATTCTTCGAGAGAAAAAAGACGATCAACACCTGCTGATATGACCCAGATGTGAGTCGTACAATACGGCCCAACTTCGCATTTTGCACGGAGATATGTCTTCTCAACCCGAGGAAGACTCCGAGGAAGGAGGTCTTCCTCGGCCTCGGTCATCTTCACTCATTGAAAACGATGACTCGATGTCGTCTTCAGTGGCAACATTAAATGTCAATAACACATCGGATTCTCATTCACGGCTCAGTGTCCCTATGTCCTCCGAACCCGTCAGACGATACTCATCCTACAACATTACACGAGGCCGTGCTGTCTCGCCCGTCGTCAGTAACTACTTTGGACTGCCGGCTGAGCGTGAATCAGAAAAACCTTCATCTATGCCCTTCTTTGGAGGTCCATCTCGTGGCGAGAATGAAGACTATGGAGCATTGAATTTCTTAAGCAAGAAGCTTACATACCGATATGGACTGTTTGGTGGTGAGACTAAATCAACTGAAAACGTATTGGAAGCTGGGAAGGAAGAAGATGACGGTGAGTCTTCTGACTCGGCTGAATCGGATGGTTCTCATGGCACCGAGAACGACGACGACGACGAAGAGGAAGATCAAGATCATATTCAAATTTTCGGTCATCAATGAGGCCGATGCAGATGTTTACGCATGAACACAGATGGCTGATGGTAGGTTGACTTATCGTTCTGGAAATGTGGCACAATAGCTATCTTTGCCCTCATCAATTAACCCTGGTCAAACCGTGCTCTGAGCAATGAACACTGTTCAGCGCTTGACCGCAATCCCACCCATCCTGGTCCATGGGGTTTAATCTCAGAAGCATCTCTAAGCCGGTGCCCAACTCTGACTGGGTAGCACCGGGAGACAGATAAGGTGCTTCAAGGCCGATTCAAGTTTTCTGTATTGGGATTATAGCTCCGTCATTTTGTGTACCTTCACACATGTGATGACCACAAGGGTGCCTTTGATCCGCATTCAATCAAGCAAAGGCCAACTCGACGCATCTCGAGGATGTTGATTTCGCATACATCAAGCAGCCGGCTTCGCTGCAGCATAGCGTTCAATTAATTTTTTCGAGTTTCAAAGCACACTGGTATCATGACGCAACGATAGCAATTTTATTGAAACTTTCTGTCTTAACTGGCTTACGCTAAATTTCTCCATTGGTCATCTGTAGTCTCGGTATCAATACCAACTTACCGACCTGATTGAATCAAACAGACGACCTTTCCGGTCCGCGGGAGGAGCGGTCTTGGGCAGCATCCTCCACATGAGCAACTGGTGTCTCTTCTCCTTCGTTCATGATGGCCATCGCTTCGCGTTTTTCAGAAGTTCCTTCAGATTCCCCAGCCGCTACATTATCAGGACCTCCAAAGATCGTATCCATTCGCTCCAAGGATATGCCTTTGGTTTCGGGGAGAATGAAGTAAACAGATATCTGGATGGCGCAACGGTCTTTGGTCAGTGATTGAAAGAAATTATATAGGACTGCTCTTGGACTTACCCCAGCAGCTATGTTCAAACCAAACAGTAGCCAATAGCTGTGACCCCCAACCCTTTTGTTGAAAGACGGCCAAGACTGCGTCAGCATAATTAGCCAGCACGTTTGGCCAAGCATCGACAGACCAAACCCCTAAACGAATGCTGTCAGTGATATTGTCCATGGCTGATTACTTTCGCCCCAACCCACCTTATCTCTAACATGCTGAGGGAAGATCTCCGTCACCACCGTCGGGGCAATAGGGCCATTTGACCAGCAGTACGTCAATCCAACAATGAACAACATAGCAACCTCCACGATAGCAGCTGCCTTGTTCCCGTTTGTCGGATAAGCAGTTGTAAGACAAGACATGATCAAGAGTGCCAGCGACTGAATAGCAAACCCAGCAAGCAGCAGACCCCGTCGACCAAATCTGTCAACTGTGAATGTATTGACAAACACAATGAGTAGCTGGAGGACAGATTGGATCCCATTGATCGTCAACGCCTGCGAACCCGTGTCCCATCCAAGACTCTGGTAGATCAAGGTGGCATACATAGTAAGCGAAGCAATACCACCACACTAGATGAGGCTATCAGTCGTGCTATACAACATGTGTATAAAAGAATTGACATACCTGCTGAAGACTTGCAGCGTAGATGCCATAAAGCAATCGCTTTCGCATGCTCTTATTCTTGAGAAGCCCGATATACCCCGTATCATACCTGCGGCGGAACTCATACGAGGCAACAAGCTCATGGAACTCCCTCCGGATACGTTCGTCAGTCGGTGCACCAGATCTGAGTCTGCTGAGGACATTCAGAGCCCGTTCGGGCGTCTCGGGGTGCTTCTCCAGCATGTACCGTGGGCTTTCAGGGTACCAGAACGAGACTACGATAAATGCCAGACCGATGGGGATCTGGATGATATTGGAAACGCGCCAGGCAATATTGTAAGGTGACTTGTGAAAGGACATTCCATAGCCGGACCAGAAGGCGATCAGGGTACCCAGCTGGTAGCCGAACTGGGATACCGTTCCAACGAAGCTGCCACGGAGCTTGGTGGGTGCACACTCGGCGACATAGAGGTTGGTGGAGATGTATACGCACCCGAAGCCTAGACCTCTGATCAGGCGAAAGGGGATCAGCAGTGTACTTGGTGATCAGTTCAATGGATTTGTGTACTTACGTCAAGAGTCTCCCCAGGATCAAAACCCCGAAGCTATTTGGGATAACTTCGACGACTCTATGCCTGGTCAGCGCTTTTCATACTTGCCTTGACGGTTTAATCTTACACTCCGATGATCATTATGCAGATGGACACCCGTAAAGCCCAAAGACGTCCGAACCACCCAGCGAGGGAGCCGCCAAGCCAGAGTTGGGCGAGACCTGAGATGTTTTCTCAGCGTAATGAACTATATCGAAGGTAGAGAGCTTAGTAGTTACCTGTCATCGCCCAGGGGATCGTTGCAACCAATCCCGATTTATTGTCATTGATGCTATAGTATTCGATGAACTGTTTATCGGCCAGAATGACTGTCATGATCCCAGCATCATACCCATTGAAACAAGTTGAAAAGACCATGCCATACAACAGGAGTGCCGCAAAGCTAGAGAGACGTCAGTCAAGAGCGTAAACAAGGATGTAGGTATGTTTCTTACCGGTCATCCTTGGGAAGAAACTTTTCCACGATACCCATTTCAAAAGGGAGACAAAGGAGAACAGGCGAATGAACAAGCTAAAGAGCAAGGCGAAGGGCTTTATATACAAGTCAAACCATACCGGAACCCCACATTCGGGTTGAACTCATTCGCGTGGAATGCGGAGTCTCCAGAAAAGTCCCTAGTTATGTATACATAGAAAAGACTCTAGAAAGAACATCCGAAAAGAACATCTAAGAAGAATATCCAGAAACAGGTCGAATGTGCTCTTACATATACTGTCCATAGTATCATCTTATGGTAAACAAAGCAGATTATCAAAGTCTTAGGTCGTCAATGATAGAAACATAGGTGGTTGATCATTAGCTATGCTTTACTGGAATCCGGGGAAAGACTGGGGGGGTTTAATGTCTATCTTTAGGATCTTGTTCAGCTGTTGTCTTCTCTTTGGTCCCCTCTTCCCCCACCGGGGGGATCTCCAATCTCCACCGGAGTCCCGGAGGCTCCCACTGGAGCCCTAAGTACCGGCGGAGGGGTTTGTCAAGAACTCAACATTGGGGGGATTGAGAGGGGTAGAGTCTCAAACTCCGACGATTTCAGAGGGAATTTCCGGCAAATATAAGAACACGGGAATGAGAAGAACTTGACTTTCTTTCTTGTCAAAACACTCATCTAAACACTACAGTCATGGAATACCCCCAGGAAAGCTTCGTTGCAACGACCTTTGCTCCGGGATCGTTCTGGGCGCGTCGTCGGGATATAGTTCGGACCCAAACGCTGCGGCATCAGCTGCAGATGCTCAGAATTACTGGAAGATACGATGCTTTCAAGTTACAATGGCACCCGAGCTACTCCGATCCTCCCACAATGTGGCCAGTTCCTAACCATCAATTCTGGGATTCTGATATCGGAAAGTGGATCGAAGGCGCCTGTTACTTGCTGATGGATCATTTCGACGAGGATATTGATGCTGCCATCAAGGAGCTCGTGCAGATGATCCAGGGTGCCCAGCATCCCGATGGATACCTCAATATTCACTACTCGGTTGTTGAGCCGGGCAAGCGCTTTACGAATTTGAGAGATATGCATGAATTGTATGTCGGAAAGAGTGTGAATTCCCCGATGGAACGATTCTAACCGATGTATCAGATACAATGCTGGCCATTTGATCGAAGGAGCACTTGCCCATCGTCTTTATTATAAGAACGATGACATGCTTTCACCCATCCTGAAGTATGTGGATCTTCTCGTGGCAACGTTTGGAGACCAGGATGCTCAGACTCCCGGATATCCTGGCCATCCAGAAATAGAGCTGGCTCTGTTGCGTTTATACAAAGTCACAGGCAATGAGAAACACTTAAAGCTCGCCCAATTCTTCATTGAAGAAAGAGGCAACCCCACGGGAGGGACAGAAAGACGGCATTACTACGATGTTGAATCCGAAGCAAGAGGCGAGAATAAGCATACGCTGCCTGTGCACTTTCCTGCCGCCAGGAGTTATTGGTAAATTATGATGGTTTTGGTTTGTTCATTTCTGTGGTGAGGGTATTAACCAAATTCCTAGGTACCAGCAGGCCCATGTTCCAATTGCCGAGCAAGAGACAATCGAAGGACACTCCGTTCGAGCTATGTATCTTCTCACAGCAGTCGCGGATTTGGTTCGGATATCCCAGCCCGACAGCAAAGTGGGAGCAACTTTCCTGCCCGTTGTCAACCGGCTCTGGTCAAACATGGTAGAGAAAAGGTCCTATGTCACAGGTGGTATTGGTGCAATTAAACAGTGGGAAGGCTTTGGTATCGACTACTTCCTACCGCAGGGAACCGATGAAGGAGGCTGCTATGCAGAGACTTGTGCTGCAATTGGTGTGATGATGCTAGCCGAACGGCAACTACAAGTAGGTTCCTTTTTTTCGCGTCTCTGAATGTTACAGCCACTTACACAATGACTTTCAGATTGACCTTGACAGTCATTATGCTGATGTCATGGAGCTTTGTCTTTATAACGCCATGTTGACCGGCGTGAGTCTGGATGGCAAAGCATTCGCATATGTGAATCAACTAGCCTCCTCGGACAAGGATCTCTCCCAGCGCCATGAGTGGTTTGAATGTGCTTGCTGCCCACCCAATGTCACACGCACGTTGGGCTATCTAGGTGGATATGTCTGGAGTTACAGCACAAATGAGCAAAAGGCCGTCGTCAATGTGCATCTATACACTGCGGCCACTTTGCGCCTGCATTTATCGGAATCGATGATTGAAATCACTCAAAAGACAGACTGGCCATGGAACGGGAATGTCGACTTTACTATCCGTACCGAAGGACCTCTCGTTGATCTTCAGTTGCGACTGAGGATCCCCGGGTGGGCGGAGTCATGGCAGGTGACCCCGAGTCCCGATCAGCTGGATATTCACAAAGGATATCTCTACCTGAGCGCTGAGTGGTTGCAACAGAATTCGCAATTCCAGCTTTCGTGCCCTATGCAATCACGTGTGGTCAAGCCACATCCACTAACAATGCAGCCCGTGGCATACGTCATGCGCGGACCAATTGTGTACTGCGTGGAGGATGCAGATCATCCATGGGAAGAGCGTCATTTCAAGGTAAAGCACGAACTGTCCCAAGAATCGATGCAGTAAATGGCATGACTCTAATCATTTGATGCAGATGACGGTCTTCGATCCTAAGGTTCCTCTAAGAGAAGAGACACGGTCTCAACCTGACCAGTATATAGCTATCATCGCTGAGAATGGAGCCAAAGGCGAACTTGACACGTCGCATTGGGATAGGCAGATTGTATCCGAGGGTAATAATGCCCATGTTGGGGAGAGCAGGGATTTGTGCTTTGTGCCATATTATCTGCGGGCAAACCGAGGTGGACGAGGGCAGATGAGGGTGGGACTCCGTGTTGAATAGATGCAGATGAACATCAATAGGTGTACTTACAGAGTACATACATTAAACATGTTCCTTGTTGTAACATTGAAGCTATAAATAGAGAACCTCTTGGAAAGATCGGGCTTATCTGGCTTACCTCAGCTTCTGCTTGCAGCCACGAGATTCCATTTCGAGAGAGATCCACGTTGTATCAGAACATGATGTTGTCTGGTTTCATCATGTCGTGCTTTTGAATATTATAGCTATTATTTAGCTATTGAGCTGATTCATATTCATCTGATTGATCCCCTTTCATCCCATCTCCTTTTTCTACTAAATTTCCCATTCTGAAACGAGGCACGGATCCCTCCACACCCCCAGCCGAGTGATGCGCATGTCTTTTACTCCTTGATTTCAGCCCTTCTAGACTTCTTCATCTTCTTAAAAGACTTGAAATCACTCGACTGGGATCCCAATAACCTAGTCAAGTGAAAATCCCTGTGAATAACAGTCTCTTCCAATCTCTTATCAGTACTGCCCCGCCGATTCTTCCTTTTATCAGTTCCGCGTCGAACCCGCGTCACCGCCCCCCGTACTATGATCCGTCGCAACTCCGATATCGAGATCCAGCTTCCGGATGCTGGTCCAACACCTCTTTCGCCCGAATCTGTGAGCGAGCTCGATGTGGAGATGTTCTCGGAGGAGCCGACACTTCCCTTGAGTCTCCCACCACACATCGCAGCCCGGTTTTACCGGAAGAGCAGCAAAGCCCGCCGTTCCTCCGCCGCCTCGTCTCGACGAAGCTCGGTGTCTTCCTTGAACTCCCATACTTCAAACGGGTCCTCGAATGGCTCGCCAAGTGCGGACCATATTGCTCAACATCTCCGCCGCACAACCATACTGGAGAGCCGAAAGGCACGACTCGCTGATCGTGCATTGCATGCGGAGAAAGTAAGGCTGCGAGCCGCTCTGGCTAAAGCAGCTACAAGAAATCTACAATTCGAAGAGAGAGCTTTGGCTGCTCAGCAGGCCCGGGAGCGTCTGCTCGCCGATATTACTGCCAAGTGCGAGGATCAGGTCAAACGGGCCAAGAAGAAGGCCGAAGATCAACGGGAGAAGAAGGCAGCCGAACAAGTTCGCTTGCGTCTGGAAATGGAGGAGAAGTTTGCAGAGGCAGAGAAACGGCGCGCATTATACCAGCAAACTCACCGCCGCCAGCGTACTAGCAGCTTGCCAGCCACCGAGGAAAAGAAGATGTCCCGAGAGGTCACCAAGTCGGTCACGCAGGATGCGGCTGCGCGGAAGATCCAGCGCGTATGGAGAACGCATAACGCGAAGATGGTTATGCGGCAGTTCCAGTCGTTGAACCTGTCGGTGGACCGAGTTCGCGACATGGCCTTTGAAGATGTTGGTGCTCTACTTTCTAATGGCAAGTTGCTCGATACGATGACGAACGTCCTCCGACTCTGTGGTCTCCAAGATATGGAAGGCGGAGCCTTGGGCGAGAGGGGTGCAGTACGCACATTCCTCAGTAGCTACCTCATTGTCACTCATCCACAGGAAGTTTTGAGCAGCAATGGAGACCAGGAGCAAGATCTGATTGCCAAGGCCCGGGAGCTACTGGTAGCCTTCCACCAGGTTACGGCGCTGCTATCGTCAGGCTGTTGCTCCCCATCTGTGATCACTGCGGATCTCCAGACTTTGTGTGAATCACACAATGTGTTTTTCTCTGCTTTCCATGCTTGGAAGTCTCACGACTCCAGTGTACTGATCGAGATCATGGTTGCACAGTTTGTCGAATTGGAGTTGATTTGGCAGACGGTCAAGAATGACAAAGCTGGCGGTGCTGCAGAGGACTACAGACTGGGTATCCGACAGAACCAGGTCCTTTTGCTCGCCCGTCTGAAGAGACTTGCGGGACCTGACCGACACATGGAACTGATCCGAGATTCATTGAAGAAGGCCAAGCGGGAGAAGAAGAGGGCTGCCTCTAAGCAAGCCATTCCACGGTCTGCTGAGACTGCTCCTCCAACCACGGATGTTACGCAGAGTGTCACCACGCCTCTTAGCGAGTCATTCAACAACATCGATGCCGCAGTGTTCCAACAGCTGGACAAGCAGCGGACATCTCCCCACGAGAGATTCACCAAAATCCTTACCCCT